TCGCCTTAAGTCCATATATTGGTGGTCCACCTATATATCCAAAATCTTTTCTGACCGTATCAGCCCATCAGTCTTGATTGGCCCATCTTGCTTTTAACGCCAACGGTTCAGCAAATAACGAAATATGCGTCAACTTCTGTGGTGGACGACGGAGAACGTACCCTAATCAGCAAAGACGACGCTCTGTGATAACATTATTAATGCAAGTAGTATTTGAACGAAGGTGGATGCGATTATGTGATATTTTATCCACTCGAGAGACCCATAAAGTGACCCTACACAAGAGTCAAATGACTTCTTAACATCCTCCACTCTCATTGGCCATGTCTCAGATCCATATAGCTAGATCGAACGAATCACGGCTATATAGATGCAGACTTTCGTTTTTATGGTGATTTTACGACGACTCCATAAAGATTTCGTCAACCGGAAGAACGCATTTCTAACTGCCGTGATCCAAGTTGTAATATCATCTTTTGCCTGTCCATTTGGTATTAGAGTGGACCCAAGGTATTTGAAATCAGGCACTTTCTCAAACGGCAATGAATTTATAAAGAGGCATTTTACCAGCTTCTTGCACATAAGACGAAAAGACTTTCGTTTCATTTACATTGACCATGAGTTCAATTCTCGCTGAAGTTACTGGCACTTTATTTAGCATTATTTGCATTTCATCATAATTGTCTGCAAAAAGAACTACATCATCAGTGCATTCTAGACCTGTGATGCGATGCTCTGGACTGAATTATACACTTCTTGAGTGCAGACAAGAAGTGTCCATTATCCAGTCTATCGCATAATTGAATATTGGAGGAAGGACATAACCTTGACGGACCAGTTCCACTGATGAACCAGTTCCATTCATTGCATTCATAAAATGCTTTTATGAGTCGAATAATCTTCTTTGGAACATCGTCAATTTGAATCTACATAACCGTATAAAATTTTGTCACATTATACATAAATTAAATCTTGTTTAATTCATTAGATTTGTAGTGAGAGTTTACAAATTATAGAAACAAACTATAGAAATAAAAATTATAGCAAAAATATATAAAATATTTCTGCCGCCGTTAATAAATTTATTTAATTTGCGGTGCCTAGGAGAGTGACAATTTGGTTATGTTGTATATTCAGTGAGAATTTTATATAGAAAGTTATATAGAAAGTTTTGCTTTTTAACGACCGAAAAATAGAATTTTGAGGATTTCTTTATTGTGGTTCTATAGTGAATGTCAAAATTAAAGTTTTCTTCTAAAATTATGATAAATTTAATCTGAGAAACTAATTAATTAAATTAATTAAAAGTTAATTTAATCTGAGAAACATAAGTCTAGTTGCGTTACCATTAATAAAAAGTTGAAAGTATTCTTTCGAATTTACATGCATCATATTTCACTTTTGAGTGGGAAGAGTAATTTGCTTGCCATGTAATCAGTTAAGGTTAAGACAATTTTATTAAGGTCATCCTATAGCAGAGATTTTCCCTGATAGGTTTTTCATTTCCCCTGAGAAATTAGTAAATTTTATAGTCACCAGATAAGTGGTAGAATTTAACATCTTTAATTTTATTATTTATGAATTATGTATTAAAAAAATAAAAAAATTTATGAATATATTTTATATATATATTATAATATAAAAAATAAAAATAAAATATTAAAAAAACAAACAATGCAATACAATTTTGAGGAATGCCTGATTTGACCGCGCCATGTTCGAAAGAGAATCGTTTACAATTTGGCACCGGTCATTTAAATAATCTGACATCCAGTAATGCCCACTATTAACGCCAACAGTCTTTCAGAAAACTTTAGTTGGCCAGATTTAGTTCGACAACTGATATTTTTCCATTATCAACTTTATGCTAACCAATCAAATTAGCCAGAGGACTTTTTCGTGCAAAAGCCGAAATTAGATTAATGCTGATAAGAGGAAATTAGATTATTGGCATTTTGAAACTTATTGCAAATCAAATCTCGCTAGTACGCTATTATTTGATTTAGTTTGCACCAAGTTTTTCAAAAAAATTTGTTATATACAAAATTTGATAATCTAGCATATAAAAATCTTAACCTCAAGTTAAATCTTAATCTTAACTGCGAGAAACTCCAGTTTTGTTTTCAGGAAGTTCAAGCTTTTGACTGGAGACCCATCTGTATTTCTATTCCAAATGATTTTCTCACTAATCTCTTGTCTTATTAGCCACTTTTTTGAAAAGTGTTTACCATTTCAAATTAGAGTCGCTCCACTGGCTTGTCGGACCAGGCAAATTTGCCAGAGAATAACTTGGCTGAAAATGCAAATGAGTTGCCACCACTACCTGGATTTCTGAAGGAGACTTTATTCCACTGGAAGTGGGATAGATGCTCCGAATTGCGAGAGACAAAGTACTGAGCCATTCTGCCTCATCCTAATAGTCAGTGGAGCCAGCCAAATCAGAAATGGTACATGCTACTGGAAAAGCCTCAAATATAATTGTAATAGTATTTGCAGGTCTTATCCAAATCTTAGTTCGCAAAATTTGCAAAATTTTAAACGATCCTCGTCATTGAACCAAAATCAGTATCAACATCGGAACATCGGAACTTAATGGGCCGATTTTTTGTATTGTATTGTATTATTGGCGTATTTAATGAGTAGATGAGAAAACGATTGGCAAAAATTTGCCCTTTGTGAATGCTTTATTTTGTAGGAAGTTACTGGAGAAATTCCGTGTGATTTTTTGTTCGATATTTTAAATATAATTTTATAATTTTTATAATTTTTTTTGACAAGAAATATGCCTTAGTTCGTAAAAATTTTGATTTTTGGCATGAATGATGACCAACTCGTTTCTTTTTTATTTCTAACCATTATTAACTTATTACTTGCCTGATTTTTTTAAAACAAGATAACAATAAGCTAGAATTTTTTTATGGGTTCTTCTCTTGGATGGCCAATGAACGAATTTTGGGAATCGATGGCGATTATTTCTCCAGAAAAGTATTTATACTATATTTATATTTATAATTTATATTTATTTAAATTTATATTTATATTTATGTATTTATTTAAAAGTATTTACATTTATTTGTTTATATTTATTTATTTTTAAATTATACTTATAAATTAAATTATACTGCCTTTTAATGAACACCTAAATTATTCTAAATTTTGAATTCTTGAATTTTTTTTAGTCAATATTTCATATATATATATATTACTCTTTCATATTTTTTAATTTCAGATTTTTTATCAGATTTTCTTGGCCTTAATTTCTTCATAAAAACGCATTTACTCACTAAGAACGAATGCGGAACAAAGTAACCAAGTGGATTAATTGTGTTGAAATTCTAGTATTCTGTTCCTACCACGACAGAGCACTGGTAAAACTTTCAATAGAAAATCCAATAGGAACGTGTTGGCAACACTTTTTCTAAAAATGTTTACAAGCGCTGATTAGGTTTGCTCAGCAGGTTCATCGAATAGGATAAATTTTGACAAGGAGTCACCTGGTGTTAGATGAGCACATCGACGTAGAACGTATTCCAGACTGAGCAGCAACTCGCTAAACCGTTTTATCTCTTTTTGCTTTCGCCGTTTGGCGACATTGCCGCTCGATGAAGCATCGGCCAGATTCGAGTGCGAGCAATTCCCTATTTCTGAGCGCCAATCACTTTGCCACTAAGCCATTGAACGTTTCTTATACTTCCATTTCCTAGTGCCTTGAGGGGGTTTCATTCTATCTCATAGTGGACTTCAACAAATTAGTGGTGAACACTGTTAAAATAAAAATGAATAAGAATATAGAATATAGAATAAGAAAGAATAAGAATAAAAAATAAGATTTTTAAAAAATGAGAAAATTAAATAAAAAATAAGATTTTATAAAATTTAATAGAAAAAAGGAGCTTATTTTTTTGTTGTTTATATGGATGGACAATAAAAGCCAATTTATTGACTGAAATAATTTCTTAACGAACGACGTCTCGTCTTGGAACCTTTTAGCAGAGGAATCGATTTCTGAACGAAAAAACATCTCTTCATGGGATCGATTCCATGTCCATCTAACGGAAACGAGTGAGTTATTATTGCAATCATATATAATCACCAACTCGTCTTTTCTATTCTATCGCATATTTTTTCAAATCTGTCATATTACTAGGGAACGGAATGTTTATCTATTTAACGATGATCTGAACAACATCTCTCCACTAACTGGGAAGAGATGTTTATATCTGTTAAGGGGATACTCGTTCACCGAACGTAAATTGTTATCTCTTATTGTACATGAATGCTTCGCAAATTTTTATATCGTTCATTTATGCTGTTCTTGCCTGCACCTTACATCCTGTCACTTCACATGTCAACAGTTCAACAGTCTCTTTTCTCTGTCTTGAATCCTGCATGATGTTATAGGTTATAGGTTCTTGCTTCGATGGATCTGGTGCTTCTTCTTGTGCTACTATGATAATCAAGTATTTGCTCAGTACTATCTTTAGTTCAACTTTTTCCAACCACTAGTTTTCTCAATGATAGCCACTTCAGCCATCTATCGATGGTACATCTCATGGGATTTTGTTTTGCCATGGTGATCTTTCTGTTCAAGTTTCTTCTATTGTCTGCTGTTGTTTCAGGCATTCTCTCAGATCTTTTTGCCATCTTGTTGATGTATATCTTGCTCCGGGTTCAGTTCAGAATAGTGGCACTGACATTCTTCCATTCTGCTCGTATATTTGGGATGAAAAATTTCCGCACATTATGAGAAGTCTCTTGGCCTTCATATCGGCATGTGTTCCATCGACCACCTCACTATTCCGGTAGGATACTTGGCAGGGCATATGCTTGTGGCGTGGTCTTATTTCTCCACCGAGCTGGCTTTTTTAGATCTGTTTTATTCTTTGGTAGTATTTACATGTTGCTGTCTTTTTCTTTTCTTCGTCGTGGTTCCTCATTATCTGAGGAGCAGAGATATGCCCATTTCTTTCGTGTATATTTATTATGGCTTTGACTAAGCAATGGGAATAACTCTGCCATCAAAAGGGAAATCCGGATGGTGTGGCGATATTCTTATTATCTCGAAACGATGTCTTTCGAATGGATCTCATCCTCTTGAAGCGAGGAATAATGAAAGTTGTTAATGGAAGAAGTAACACTTTAAAAAAAATGTAATTTTGACTAAATTTTTTGAAAATTTGAGAAATTTTAATCACAAAAGTTTAAAATTCAGAGAATGCTTTTTTAAACTGAATTTATACTCGATTTTATCACTTTTCACTTTTTATCACTTAATTATCATGCAGTTAGGCGGCGTAGCATTCGTGCATGCGGCACTTATATGGTTGTGCATGCAAGTTCGCTCGATGCAGAACGGGCAATAAGGAGAGTGCGAGGCTGCCTTGTCAGCAAAACATCTCGAAAATTTTTCTAACATCGAAAAAGTCGCATGAAAACCGTAATATTCTTAAGGTTACCACTTTGATTTCGAGAGAATAGATTTGAGGCCAATTTTTTGGATTATTTCGCAAAAAAAGTTTTTTAAAAAAATTCTTAAAAATGAATTATTTACAGAAACGTCTATTAAAGAAAATGAAATTCCTTAATATTTATTAGTCGGTTCGTTCCTTTTTTTTAGTATGGAATTCATTATTAGAGCGATGCAGCACATCAAATCTTATTTTTTTTCGAGGTTTATACATCTGGTTCGATCGATTTTCAGTTTTCCTCTTCAGCATTACTTAATCTTCTCAGATTCGACGAATTTGTCCTCCTTTATCGTTTATTTTCATATTTAGAAAAAATATGTATATTTTATTATGCCATTATGCCATTATTCCTTGGTTCCATTTCTTTCTTGGCAGATCTTTTCTTCTTCTCGGCATTTCTGGCTTTGCTCGCTGCATAGTGGAATCCTTTTTGGCAGAGAGCCACTTGGATGTGTAGGCGAGTTGCATTCGAGGCTTTCCTTCTCTCATTAAGTGAAATTTATTTATTCTCAGCTTTTAAGGGTTTTTCTGCTTGTTGCACTGTTATTGAATAATTTGTTTAAGCTAATAAACTTATTTCAGCGAAAAATAGCCAAAAATTTTTCCTCTGCGATTTGCAGATTTTTAGCCCATTTCAGTTTGAATTTTGGAATTTAGAAATTCGCGCATTTCGGAAAATACTGATAAATCATAACGCTTTTCGCATTTCAAGTAATTGTAAAGTTCATTCAATCAAAATGAATGGATGACTTCTTAAATTTCTGGTTTTCTTGTTATTAATCGACTCATTAACCAAAAATCATAGGACCGCAAATTTTGGATGTTTTTTAATAACCCTTTAACTACGAATGATCGCTTCCTTGTTTAAGCCGTAAAACGTCTTGGAGCGTAGTTGGATTTTTCTTTTTTGCTAATTAATTTATTCATAAAGAGAAATTGACGGAACAATTCGTATGAGTCGATGGTACTGCTCGGATTTTTTGATGACGTTTAGTTTAGTTCTTTCTTTCTCTATGGCAGTCCTTTTGGTGATAGGGTTCAAGCTTTTGACCTACAGACGATCACCTGAGCGACAACTACTCGGCTAGCACAGTCATCATCACCACGGTTGTTTTAATGAAACTTTATCAAATTTTATTTTCAGAATTTTGTCACATATATTGGACCATTAATCAATTTAAAGAATTCACTCGGAATGTTGCTCTTCATAAAGGTAATTTTCAAATTGAGTTCTTCAAGCTTAGCTGGGGCAGAATAGCCGAGTGGATAGCATCAAGAGGTTCGATTCCTACCTCTGATTAATTCCTACCTTTGAAATTAAAAATCCATCTTTAAAAAATCCCAATGATGGCATCTATCGACAGTCGGCTCAAAAGTTTATAAATTAGCAGAACGAAACTAATCAGAAATGACGAACATTTACCACTTCAAGTTTATCCCATATTTTAAATTGATACTAGTTTGCTTGCATTTTTGCCTGTTCAAATTTTATCTTCTGTTTAGAATTCATCTGAAAACTAATTTATAACGAAATTTGGAAACACAAATCTTCACTCCTTTAATGGACGCTAATGGATCTGTAAAAATTAAAAAATCCTCTTTGAAATATAGGATATGTCGAGTTATCAAATTGTCAAATTTTGTTGAGTTTTCTTCTGAAATTGTTTTGTAGAAGAATGATGGGACAACGTTGACAATCGACATGCTTCCACATGATAGTATCGGTGAATTGCTTAAAGAAATTGAAGCTGAATTTGACTGGTCGCAAGATCGCTTGGCACTAAACAAAGCCAAATTATTTTATCGAGGTAGTTCAACTTTCTGTTGAAAAAGAAAAGAAAACTTAAGACGTTAATTTTAAATTTTAGGACGGCCTTTGAACTTGGTAAGAATAAAGTGTAAGTCGGGTTAGCGGTGTGGATCTACTTGTATTGCACAAATATCTCATCCTTATTCACTGCATTTTCCCAAAAACCAGTACAGCACGCTTAACCAGGAAAAAATTTTTTTAAACTTGATAACGTAGTAAAAATATCAATAATCCTCTTTTGTACCATGGATTCTTCTGATATTCTTGCGAAACACAAACCATAAGATTAAATAAATGAAACAAATATGCTACAAAAATCCATGATTTAATTGCCAAAAATACGTACTAATATCTACATTATGATTGAAGGAAATATAAATTGTTGAAATTAATGAAAAAGATGAATTTTTCCAGATCAAGGCGTGGATTCCCGGCTAAGAACCCATTCTTAGTTGTGTAATTATTTCGATCGGTCTGTTTTACCGGCCTGTTCTTAGATTTGTGGCTTATCATAAATTTATACTGACTGCCATTAAGTCTTGACTCACCTTATGCGAGTACTTAAAATCATTAAGTAATATTCATTTTTGCTTTCAAATTCTTAACGTAGCCGAGTGGATAGTGATTATCATGTTGAAAGGCCCCAAAGGGATTTCACCTGTTGTTAAAGAACCTGGATATACTGCAACTCATCTGCACTTCTATCACTAAATAATCCTCTGGCAAAAATTTCTAACCGTATTGGCGAATGGTGTCTAACCAAGGAATTGTAAGTGTTGACTGCTTATTTGCTATGATTTGATTCTTTGATAATTTCACCTTTAAGGAAATGAATTGAAACTAAACGATGATAAAACTTTGGAAGATCTACAAATCGAAGACGGTTCAATGATTGATTTGGTCTATTAATTTACCAGCGATAATAAAAATTGATATTTCCACCAAAATGACCATCTTTTGATCCACTAGTTTTAGTTTTTATTGTAAATTATTCTAGCCGAACATCTTCTATGAAACTGAAACTGTTTCTATTTTTTTGGTTATATTTACGATTTTTAAAAGAAAACTAGCCTTGTAAATTGAAAATTACACAAAAAAAGTTACTGCTTTAAAATTTCTTGGTATCCGAAAACATTCAATTTCCTTTCCTCCAAAGAACCATCCCACATTTGTTTTCCGTCTCAAATAAATTCTCATAATTCTCATAAGTTTTTCATACAAACCAAAATCGAATTCAGCATCAATCTCTCATCGAAAATAATAAATAACAGTAGCAATGGTACATAAGTTTTTAGACCAATAATTTCCCCAGTAATTCTTAATTTGAAGTATGGCTCGTTGTCCTTTTTTGTTTATTTTTATTTTTATTAAAAACAAATTTATCAAGCATTTTTTTGCCATATTGTTTTCTGATTCCAAAAAATTCTGGCAATTTAAATATTTCTTACATGGAAAAGAAAATATTTAAAGAATATTTGTGCATAAGAGCAGATGCACTTTTTTGCCCTGATTTTAGAAAAAGCAACAACATATATATACCTATTTAAAGACTGCAACCGGATCTAAAAAGTCCACACTAAAAAAAATACAATATTATTTTCAATATAATTCATCGAAATGAATTAATTTTCGATATAATTCATAGAAATGAACGAAAAAATTTCGTAACTAAAGGCCATAAAGGTGAGGAATTATAATAATTGGAACTGACCTGATTAATAACTGGAAAAAAACGATAAAAAATTAGAGAACGAATGAAATATTTACAATATATAAGAGAATTCAGCAAAAAAAAGAAAAAAAAAACAAATTTTATGGGCGCTTTCTTTTTATCAAAGGTTGTGATCGATCTTCACCACTGTCTTCATTATCATTTTCAATTTCTTCCATTCGCTGCCTTAACCTATCTGCGTCTATACGAAAATCTCGTACTCCAATTGCATTATTGCGGACTTGTACATTCAGTCGATCGTCATGTAAAGCTGTGCTGAGCAAAAGTAAATTGGCCTAAAAATATAATTATAAAGTTCAAATTTTAGAGAGGAATATAAGATTCTTTAAGAAAATAAAGTATCAGGTAAAAAGAGAGACTAATATTAAAAGACAGACCTGAAATTGTTCCCGTGTTCGAACATAACTCACATAAATGGTTTCATCTTTTAATGCTTTCGCATATTTGCGTTGATGACTCATATTCGGCTGCTATAGTGATATTGATTAGATAAATGAAATTGAATGAAGCGGATGAATTGAACCAGAAATATTAAAACATACATCAAGTGGATTCAACGTTCCTACATGTTCATCTGCAATTTCCATTATACGAAGAACATTTCCACGGGTCACTGTAGCTAATTTAGATAAACATTTCCATTCAGATATATTACATAATTTATGTTTCGAAAGAAGCTAAAAAAAAATAAAATTTCATTTATATTTAATATATATTTATATATTAAATATAAATAAATATAAATACAAATAATATAAATATAAAATTAAATATGAATAATATAAATATAAAATATAAAATTAAATATAAATATAAATATATATATTTACTAATAAGGATGCATTAAAAAAGTTAAAATTTCACCAACTTGGAAGACCATAACATTCATCGTATTGTATAATGAACTTAACAGTGACGATATTTGCTCCTTTAACAAGCCATACTGGACATGGATCGGTAGAATCATAAAAATAACTTCAGCTAGACGGTCACAAAATTCGATAGCACTGCAAATGCCGTTGTCAACTGAAACAACATACAAAATTTACTGCCCCATTTGAAATTGAGCATTATAAAGCTTTTGGTGCATTTAAACACACCAATGGAATTTTCAGCAGAACAACTGGTTATATCCAAGAGCATGCGAATATCCGACAATGATGCCGAACAAGCGTTAATTAACATTTCACAACATATTTCCAAACAAAACTCTTTAATTGATTCCATTCTCATTGCATTGCTCTATAATTTCAAAATATTTCTGAAAAGTTTTCTATCCTTTGCAATTTTATAAAAACAAAAGTAAAATAAGATAACCACATATTACGATTCAGAAAAGCAGAAAATTATTTGATGATTTTTATCTAAGATGATCTAGGTATTAAATTCAAATTTTATCATTTCAAAAATTTCTTTTTTAATCCTTAATATTTTTATCAAATTTCTTACAGTGTCACCCGCTAAGGTTTCCAATATTTCTTTTGCTGTACGTCGTAATAAATTCGTATAAAAATTATCACATTTTCCACGCCTAGCCACATAGATTAGAAGATTCCATATTTCTCGTATGATTGATTTTTCAGCTAAATGAACTATAAAATTAACGCTTTTATTAACATAAACTAACAGAAGTCTTTCAGTATTACCAATAAATCTAAAAAATAAATTTTCTACAGCAAAATTAAATAACACCGCTTGATATTGTTAGGAATTGTAAAATAAGATGATTGATAGGAATAATTTGTTAATTGTTGTTAATAATTTGATATGTATATATCTATATATTTTAAATATTTTTAATTTGATGGCTTTAGGTGCAATTTTTAAATTATTGAAAACTGAGGAAAAATTAATTTAAGAATATGAAAAGAAGTATCCAAGAGAAGTAAAGAAGATGTAAAGAAGAAAAGAAGTAATAAGTGACTCCATAATTTGTAAAATAACGAAGAAAGATACGGCAATTTCTTAAATTCAAACATTGTTAACTTACCAATGCGATATTTTTGGATAATATTGACAACTAATTTGAGGCAAAATGTTTGGAACTTTTCATTTGAAAATGGAATCAAATGAAGCAATGATCGACTAGCCATAAGAAGCGCATTTGCTTGCCGTATATAATCCGATGAAGCTTTATGTTCTTCGTAATCTTTATATGATTCGAGAATTCCAGGAAGAAGAACTATTAATAAATAACGCAATAATCGCGGGACAGCTGCATTTAAAGAAATTTGTTGGTCGTTATTCATTTGATCATTTACACATTGCCCTGAAAGTTAAAGATTCCAAATATTTCACAGAATTAGATGATATCAATAACATTTTCTAATTTGGTTTTTTCAATGATATAGTCTCCATCCGGAAGGGACTATTTGGATTTCATTTTCAATGCAATATTTAATTCCATTAAGAGACAGAAATTGAACCGTATTGTTGAAATAACCATAAGCAATATTCTTTTTATATTTATAAAATATTTTTTTTTTTAAATCGCAAATTCTATTCTAAAATGTCATAAATAAATTTCTCAATTGTTTCTCAATTGTTTTTTTGTATGGCAAGGCAACCATTTATTTACACTTACAAATTTCCAGAATAGAAGTCTGAGCGCGAGATAACATTGTTTTACTGTTATACTTCGATATAATAAATGACAAAGAATAAGAAAATGCGGCAATTGCTTGCGTGCTTTTGCGACTCCATAGTTCGAATCGCACAGCTTGATTCACCAGATTTTTACCGACAAAAAGCAACAACATGCATCTATAAAGATTTTTTAAATAAATCTTTAATGATCTTTCTTTAAGTAAAATTTTCCAATATTCCATTTCATGTTTATATTTATAAAAATCTGCAAAAGAAGATTTAGCCCTCCTTTATAGAGTTTGTTCAAACAATCTGGAAAAAAATCATAAATGTATTAGTAGTTGGGAAATTTTGTGATAAAAATAAAAACTTCGCGAAAGAGGTAAGTGATAAAAGCGAGGCATTAGATACACAGCGCGTCAGATCCCTTGCAATACGATCGGACCACTCCATTACCCAATCAAAAGCACAAGACCGCAAAAGCTCTAAGCACTGTTCATTCGCTTCATCACCTTCGTCTTTATCTTTTCTAAAAAAAGGAAAATTAAAAAAAATTAATTTGAAAATAATGTTGAGGAACTATTTGATTTTTCTTTGTTAGTAACACAGTCTCCAAAATCCCATTCAAAAAATGTCAAGTGTAATAGAAAAAATATGTTCAAATTGAATAATTGTGTCGAGAATAAGTGAGATTCATCATCAAACTCCTAATTTTCTCTTCTATATTTATGATAAAATATATTTACGATTTATGTGTAGTTATGATTAATATATTTTGATTTATGATTAAGATGCAATTTTTTGACACATATTATTTCTTCCATTGACTGCTAATCTTTTGCCATAAATGTAAATGAAAGTACATTACCACTCCATTTCTTCTTTTTCCAGCAGTTCTCAATATTATTGGTTAGGCTAAATTCGCTACAAGAGTAAGATGATTTCAAATAGTTCAGATGCCAGTAATAGAGCCATCCCTTTTTCCACCGTCTAGTCCATTATATACCATTCTCTCTATAGGTCCCTCTACACGTCCAAAATCTTTCCTAACTACTTATATCAGTCCAGGTCTTGACTGGCACACCTCGCTTTTGATGCCATCCATCAGCGGGCACCACTCCATTTCTCCATTACCACTCATGTTTTATTTTTGATCGCATATCCGTTAAAGGACAAGAATCTCACTCGAAATAAGATAAGCGTTCATACGCACAACTTCTCCTCATCTCCTTTTTCCATAATTTAAATTTTCTAATGAGTCAATTTTTAATCTTTTTTTATGAATAATCAAGTTCATAAAATTTGATATTTTGAAAAAGTTTTTTTCCTATTCGGAGTATATTACTCTTTGGATTTTAAAAGAAAAGTACTTGATGAAGCGAGAAACAATGGAAGTTATTGTCTGCAACTGTAAAGAGAATGAAGACGGCGATGAAGGAATATTAACTGCACCTTTCGATTCCTTTCTTTTAACCATTTTTTCTTTTAAGACTTCATTCAACTCACTCCGCGATCGTAATAACGCACTTACTTTTTCTGCATTTTTTATCCTGACAGGAAATAACTTCAATTTTTTTCTCAGAACTTAAACTAGACAATAAGAAAATAAAATTTACCTGAATAAATAATAAAACGAATAATGAAGACAAAAAAATATTATCAAACGAATAAACAAACTAATTATCTAATTATTATTATTGTTAACGCATTATATGAAATCATAAAATCATACTCAAACAAGATGTTACCAATATGCCATGAATGCTCAATGAGTGCATCATAAATAGCGATTATCATATGTGCGAACATGATATTTGATCGACCAAGTGGTGTTGCCGAAAAATCCGATAATTTATCGATCTAAATTATTTCATCCAAAGAAAATAAAATTAAAAAGCATGAAATGAAAAATGAGAAATTTTATCAACAAAAAAAAAGAGAATAATAAAAACAAAAGAAAGTATTATCAAAAAAACAACCTGAAGATCATGAATATCATTTTCTAGTACAAATTCCAAAATTTTATTTAGATGAGAAATCACCTCAGCTACTTGTGATTCACGTCCATCAATTAACTGAGTCGATGTGTTATGCATATTATGAATAGATAATCGGATAAGTATGCTAACTGACTGAAATGAATGATAAGAAAGGCGGAAGATGGACAAAATGCGTATACCAAATAAATTATTCTACTAACTTGGATGAGTTCAGGCAATGGCTCAAGTACAATAGTAGTTGTTTTTACACTTTCAATATAAGACTGACGCGATATATCCGGAAGAGTTTCGAGATGTGCACATAGCAAATCCAAAGCAGGAATAATAATGTTTTCATTAGAATATGATGCATCAACTATACCTCTAAAATAATGATATAATAATGATTTGATCATATTTTCTTCTGTATTAGAAAAAAAATTCTTTAATGGGCAAAAAAATTATAAATTCAGCAGCTTGACAGAGTTAGTCCAATTTATTGATATTTTCAAATTAAAAAATATTACTTATACAATAAAACTTTCGTTGGCGCTGGTTGAAACAATGCGCGTTTAAGAACAGCGATCACTTCCATTGAAACTGCTGCATTACTATCGCAAGCATTTACTCCCAATTCTTGCAATGCCTAGCAAATAAATAAATTTGAAAGTTTTCTTTTTAATTATTGTAAAGAAAAATATTACCTGAGTAGAGAACGTAGCAAAACACTGACTGAACTGATTACTTCTGATAGATGACCGCATTATGGAAGATTTTAGGATAAGAAGTAAAATTGGTAATGCAGTAGCTACTCTTTTCTCATCAAGTACATTCCCACGCATCTGAGTGACGATAGCGGAAATAAGTTGCGGTCTTTGTATGATAATTGGCAAGAGGGCACGTACAAGCCAAACAGCTGTTTCCTTCAATAAAATATATCATCAATTCTTCATCTTCAAGAATTTAAAAAATTCAAAAATCTTTTGTGGCTAAATAATAGATTTAATGCCACAAAATAAAATAATTTTATCTATTTTATCTATGTACAGATATATCTAAAGATATATTACTTGAAATGAAAATATGGTTTAATAAAAAAACTAACTTCTTTAAGCAAACAAATATTATCAATAATTTTACGTAGCGATTTCCAAGAGTTTAACAAATGTACTGCATGTTGCAATACAAGTTCGATAACTACATCTTAAAATATCCAATGATTGTGAAAAAAGAATCTATAAAGGAAAAAAATATCGTTGACTTTGGTAATGTATTTAGAATCACTATTTCTTTAACTAACGTTGTCCAAAAATTTTTTAAATTTTAAAAAACAATCCAAACAATGGTCGAAATACACTGATTTGATAAACACAGTTCGTCTAAATAAAAATTGAAACAAAAAAGTGCACGAACCAATCAAAACAGCAGAAGAATATCGATCAGGATTTGCAGTTAATGCAGTAAATATACCATTTATTACATTAGGAATGGACTTCGGATTTTCAACCAATGATAACAAAATACGTTTGGCATAATTAACAATAGTTGTGTCTTCCTCGATTCTATAATAATAAAAATCATTTATGCAATTAATACAAAATTATTAGATATTAAAATCGTGAGATTAAATATTGAATAAATAAAATAGATAATATAAGAATTATAATAAAAATTTAGAAAATATTTAATAAAATTATAAATTACCATAAGAATCACCATTATTTAAAGAAACAATGATCAATGACTAACCGCCCATTAACAAATCTCAAATCAGCTTTAGATTTATCAGCAATAATGCTAAATGCTATATCCTTCAAGGCCTCGCCAACTACTGGTAACCATCTGCAAAATTCTACAGAAATGAAATGAAAATGAATTGAAAATTAAAAATGAAAAATTCTTCAAGTCAATCCCGAATCAATCAATTTTACTAATTGCATTTTTGAAATTTCATTGAAATTGTTGAAATTCATTGAAATAATTAATTTATGTGAAATTCAGTAAATTTTATGTAAAAAAGTGAAAAAAAGGACGAATTTCGCTCGCAAAGAAGAAATTCAAAGAAGAAAAAGAATTTTTTTTTGATATTATCCTTAAAGGAATGCAAAAGACTCATAATTCTTTAAAATGGCAAAATAACAACTATAAAATGTTGGAAAACCTGATATCCTCTACGATGTTTATTAACAATTCTAGATTCCTTCTGAGGGATTCGCTTTCACAATTTTTCATAACTGCTTGCATCCAAGCGCTATCCTCAAGACATTTCCCATGTTTTCGCAGAATAACAATTACTTTTTTTAATTCGATAAGACTCAACAGACGAAATCGCGAAATATTACACAGCGTTAATAAACAAATCAGAGCAAAAATATGACAGATTATTAAACATCGATTACGCTGAAAAAAGCAAATAATGAAACTAAAGAATTTAAAAAATAAAGGATGGAAACAAAAAATTACCCTTAGAATATTTAAAATTGTCTTTGCAAAGTAAGGATTCGAATCGCACAAATAATGTATTCGCATACAAGCAGGATAAAGATCGACCAATGGCAAATTTATATTTTTAAACAAATAGAGAAATATCTATAAAATGAATTTGTAAAACTATGAATTACTGGAATTAAATCACTAGAAACTTAATGGACGAATAAGAGTACGTAATAATAAATTCAAGATGAGACCCAAAAAAAAAAAAAATCAACTAACCATTTCTTTAATTTCATTAGCTAGTACTGTTGAAGAAATAATAAGTTTCAAGATAATTTGAGAGTCTATTTGTCGCGCCATTAGTTCATTAACATACTCTTTCAATATTTCATCCAACAAACAATTTCTGAATTAAATTAAATTAGATTAATAAAATAGAGATCAAAATTGTAAAAGAAAGATTTGAAAAAATTATAATGAAAAACAAATAAAATATTTCGCAACATGGGAAAAAAACCTTATTAAAATGATCAATTTTTCAAAAGTTTCGATAGAAAGAACATCATGAAGAAGTTGTAACAAAAAAGAATGTCGATACTGAAATCCTTTGATAGCCTTTCCCTCGAAATTAATGATAGATGCCTTCTGACCCAAATAATTCATGATTATTACAACAGCACCAAGCCATCTTAATGAAAAAAAAATACAATAATTGAAAAATCTTATTAATCCATAAAATATGTAAAATATTTACCAAATCCTGGTTATCAAAAATTAGTTTGACAAAACAATCGGTAAAATATTTTAAAAGTTGGAAGAAACCAGCATTTTGAGGGAAGGTATATTTTATTGCAATTCTACTTATAAGCTGTCGATAAATGTCATTAAATTTTTCACCAATATTCCCATCTATATGTATAAGGTTTATGTATAAGGTTCTTAACGTTTATAAAACAACTGTTTGACAAAAAAATATAAAAATAATAATTTTTTACATGAAGGATTAATCATAATAACGCGTAATATATTAATATTAATATAACAATGACCAAAAAATATAAAAAAATACTGAAAACTACTAGCCTTTTAGGTAATGGAATTCCACGGTTGAATTTTTCACGAATCAAGTTGCAAAGCTGAAGCAATTGCTCATCTTTAAATGACTCCAGCTGAAAACATAATAATTATTAAAAGTTAAATTGTTAAAAAACCTTTGTAAAAATAATTGGTAAAAGCATAATTGTATAAGCATAAAAGCATAACCTCTTTATTAAGATGAAAATGGAAAACAACGGAAGGATCAACAGCTAAATATTCGATATTAATTAATTCCAGTACTAACTGATACATATGAAAAGCATTCAACGAATGATCTGGAAGCTGTTCAACTGCAAAAAACCAATTCCGAACAAATTTGCTAATCAGTTCACCACCATCATATTCGCATTGTTTTCCAGCGAAATTACAAAAATTATTCTAAATATCTAAATCTAAATACTTATTTTTAATCTAATAACTGTTTAATTAAATAATTGAAAATAAAATATAACCGAAATAACTGAAAATGAGTTAAAACTTCAAATATCGATCAAATATAACTCGCCGTAAGTTGTACTGATTTTAGTGCTGCCTCTGATTCAGATGGTGGAGTCGCATTTTGGAATGCGACGATGTTCCAGAGATCATTCAGCTTATAAGGGTATTTTACCGGGGTACATCGACATGAAACAAAATCCCAAACAATTGCAGCTATAATTTTTTGTCTGGCGAAAGGTTTATGGAATTGTAGCAAAACCACTGCCAAAATGAAAATTCACATTTACGGTTACATTCACATATGCAGTTACAGTATATACTATAATATAGCTGCGAAACTGTCATATGAATGGAAAATTTTAAGAAGTTATCTATTTTTAACCATTCATGTCTAAAATTCATGGTCGTCGAGAGGATAAAATCGCACATGGTCACATCCATCATTGCTCAATTATCATCTACATTAGCAGTATCGATACAGAACTTTGCTTACACTGGTTTTTCACCGCTATCTCAGGAATGCCTATCTCGCTATTCATTAAATCCTGAGGTAATAGCGTCAAAAGAGAGGAGTGCCAACCAAGACATGGACTGATTTCAAACGTAGATGGCCCACCGATACATGGTTTTAAAGAGTAAAAAATGGAGTGGCTTCTTTTACTCTGGCACAGTATCGCACATCTAGTGGCCCATCTTATCCTTTTAGCCAACGGAATCAGTCAAAGCAATAATGGTGCACGAAGAATACGCAAAAATAATAAATGTGATGGTCCATTGCTGCCAGGAGATTCAATCCCGTTGTACTCTTTCTTAAATTCCGGCAATCTGGCAATTCATTTCGAGGATATCAATTTTGCAAAAAAAATGACAATAACACGGATTTTATTAGCGAAATTTGTTTATTTAGGATAAGAAAAGGAAAAAATTGGAAGTTTTGGATGAAAAGATGAAAATTTAGAGTGGATAAAAAAGTTAACAGCATTAAAAAATTTTCAAGGCTTTCTTTCGTAACTTGTTTCGACTGAAATTATGAAAAATTGATGCTTATTTCTAATTTCTTGGGCATATTTATTTTGGAAGTGCGAAACTTTCATCGCTTTCCATTTTATTTTAAGGAATTCTTTGCTGATCCAATTAGCTAACCAGCAAATATAAAATTCAGGAAAAAGTTTCTTACTAGTTTGGTTGTCAAAGTCCATTATAAAATGATTTCGCCAGTGATTTTCAGATGACATTTCTTATAAGCATCAAATGAACATACATAGCGATAAAACATTCTATCGTCCTTATGTTTGTCGTTATGCATTAATACTTATTTCAATCTCCAATAATTTGCAAAATTGATTTGCAAAACAATCGCCTCCCCAAAAACTCTCTCCTTCTCTCCTTCCTTATTAAAAGTCCTTACATTATGATCACGTGGAAGAAAATACACATTTTCGTACTACGCATTTTTATTGTAAATGATTTTGCAGACATTATTCGTTCACAATGCTGATTGAAGAAGGAAATTTGTTTCTGAAATTAGAGAATATTCGAAAAGATTCTTATTTGTGCCATTCAGCGAGAGAAAAGAAATCGCCTTCGACTTGCGGTACTGAGGATAGAATGGCTCAGTGGGTTGTTGTTCAATTGGGAGCGCCGATGCTGAGGTTCGATTCCCTGCAGGAGCAAACCTGTGCAAAAATCCGGGTTATGCTGGCGACATGCCGGGTTATGCTACGTGTGTACTGTCGCCTGTACTTCTATCGCCAAGAGATTAGCATATTGCCCAACTGCGACTGAGCCAGCTGAGCGCGTACAACCAGTAATGGTGAGGACTCTTAAAAAAAAATTCGTCCGGAAAGAAGGAAGAAAGGCATTGCGCAGCTCGCAAGTGGAAATCTCCACAGTGCACAGTTTAGATTGAAATAATGGAATGCACCAAGTAAAAGAGTTATATGAGGCAGAAAACAAACGCAAAAACGGCGAACCAACCCAACGCTGATCATCGACAAGCTGCGTGACAACTTTCGCCACCTGCGAGATATATTTCGGGCAGTTCGTCGTCCCATTCGCCATGTTTCGTTCGACTTGCAGGCAAAACTGCTGGCAGAAATTCGCGTAGCTTCTAAGCTTTTGCGACGACTGTGTCGAAGGTAAACTCATTTTCTAAACGATTTTATTCATTTTAATTTAAAAAACAATAAATGAACTTTGCAAAAAAGATGGAACGGGTCGGTGCGAAACGAAAATTAAAAAATTTCACGAAATTTAGCAAAAAATTCATTTCTAAAGCGTCACTTTTAAATTAAAACTTCATTGCTAATGGAACCCAAGAAAAAATAGAGCCTTCGCATTTCGAACGGGAAAATTTGGAGGGAGGCCGAATATTTTTGCGGTCGGACCGCATTTGTTTTACGGCAGCTGGGAATGCAAAGCTGGGAGGTTCTTCGACGATGGTTTTTATAAATTTTCTAAGGCATTAATAAAGTGTTGAACAAATGAATAGAAAGGATGTCGTTTTTAATTTTAAGAAATAGGCGACTTCCAAGAACTTCCAAGCTCCAAAAAACAAGCAATTGTCAAATGGGATGACTCCATTGTTTAAAGATTAGGGTGGCTCAGTGGGTGTTGCTCGGTTAGCAGTGGGTGTTGCTCGGTTAGCAGTGGGTGTTGCTCGGTTCGGAGCGCCTTTGCGGAGGTTTACTTCCCGCAGGAGTGAGCCTGTCAAAAGTGCGACGACTCACCTGTATTTCTATTGCCAAGGCGCTCTCTGGCCTATTCGCCTTGCACGACAAGCCAGTGGATTGAGTCTATCTCCATCATTTGCTAACAACTCTTCTCTTTCAATAAAGGCCGTTCTTTCCTCTCTCTGCCAAACATCAAATCAAGGAAGGCCGACCCACTGATTGAATTCATTCAGCTGGGACTTTCACCAACATTAATACTTGGAAGGTAACTCAACTCGAACCGTGGGAATGAAGAAAAAGAAGGGAACGCCATTTAACTGACCTATTCACCTCATCACTGCAACAGTTTGCATTGTTTTGTAGTGGTAGAAATAACGAAAATCTATCGTCAGTCTTCAAATACATTGGCTAAAATATGGAAAAGAAACATGAAAATGGTTTTTGTAAAATTTGCATATGTTCAGTAATTTGGCGACTAAAACTGACGTATTAAGCTGTTTTATTTTACATGTAACCATCGCAAATCCTCTTAAACGCTCTTGTGATTTATGCCATCTGTTCAAGCTTTTAAGTTCGCTCAGGCGTGGACCGTTGCTCGTTTCGACGCTCCATCGTCGATTAGATAAAAACCTTTCTAAGCACTTTTATTTTCTTTAATAATTGTTTAAATATTTATCAATATTGTTCATGCTAACAAAATTTTGTTTACTCCATCTTAGTTAAGCAATTTTTCTTCAGAATTATTAAGCAATTCTTCATTACGAATTTTCAGCCAAACTTTTTAAATATTTAAATGAGTGAAGAGTTCGCAACATCTATTCGCAACGATCAAAATATCTAAAAGTGCCAGATTAATTTTGCGAGGGGGTCCCTTGATTCACGGGTGGGTCACCCAGGTTTTTCGAGGGCAAGTTTGCTCTTATCGGTAGTATTATCGGTGATATAATTCGGTTGTACAGTATAACAAAAAGTTTGCTTTTAGAAAAAAATTTAATTTAATAAATAAAAGTAATTTTTTTCTTAAGATTCTTAAGAATTTCGAAGAATTTTTTTCTAAATATTTTTAAATATAAATATTTTGTAGGGAAATTTAAGTGGAAAAAACTTCTATATATAATAAATTTATAATATTAGAAATACTGTTGAAGGTTCCATCTGAAATACAGTCTTTTTCCTTTTCTCTAAAACTTTTATGTTATCTCACAAAGCTCTGATCCTCGCCAAAAGTTTTTATTTTCTAATAGAATGATAAATCGAAATCAAAATATGCTTGCGGATCGTTTAATAGGTATCGGACGATTCCGTGCATCCACTTTCCTTGATGCTTCAATGCAAAATGCCCAATCATAATTATATGTTTTTAGAGTTGAAACGTCGTAATGGTATGGCAAACGATATACTTTGCGAATACGGCGAAGCCTTTTACCTTTGTCATTTGATCTTGTTACATCTCTAAAAGTTCTCGGTTAAAATAAGAATTTAATGAATTCACTCGGTTGTCCTCGGGTAGATCGCTGCTTCGAATCCGGTAGACTGGAATGTTGTTTGAACAAGGATGGTCGAATGGTAGATTTCGAAGAAGCATATGTCTAAATATGCTTCTTCGAAATCTTTCATGTCATCTATCATTAAAAAATCCAAATGGTGAGGACAGATTATCTAGATCCCTAAATGACTGACTGCCTCTTAGAAATTTTAAATCAACAGTCAGTGGAACTAATGTAACCAGAAATAGAAATCATTTTGAGCATTCGATTGATTTTTTGAAATTGTTTAATGATTGGTACCGTTTATATTTATCTATATTTCAATATAGCAATCATTTTCATGAAAAATTAAAGTTCGACGTCCAGATCAAAGAACTAAAAGGACAAATTCAAATAACAACAGATCAGCCTCGAATTGCCGATGGCATTGCAGAAAATGTTGAGAAGCTATTATTTAATAAGCGTTGCGATATCAGTATTTCATCCCTGTGACGGTGAACGAATTTTTTAATTAAGTAGCTGGTCATTTACGCCATTTAATGGATTCGACTGCTCAATTATAAAAAACACCAAGAGATGCTTTTCGAAAATGGTATTGTTAAACAGAAGAAAAGAAATATGAGGAGCGTTTGGCTCCGGCATTCACCTAAGGAACCATGGTTCTTGGAAAGAGGATTATTCTAGACTATAAAAAAGTAGTTCTAATATTCCATTGCTAACTCCTAATTTCTTTTTTCAACTGTTAGAACACTTTATTTTGTTAATTTTATTTTATTTTATTTCATTTAATTTTTCCACTAAAATTCTCTTTATAATAAAGTGATAGAAGTATAGCATAAACTTTTTCTTCTTGTTTTTTATTTATTTCAGACTTTATAAAACTATAAGATTTTTCCACTATATGGAGCTAAAAACATTTTCAGCTTGGTCTCCGGAAAAGAAAAGTGGTAACAAGGCGATAAAAGTTTAACTCGCCAGTCTTGGAGCAAAAATATTTTGCAAAGGAAAAAATTGTTACTAACCTCCAAGCATTTAAAATAAGCATATTTAGCCGTGGCATAATCTCAATTTCGATTCGCCAAAAATATGTACCGAACTCACCATCGTTACACAATCCGATTGACCAACTCGTATTTGATGATGAGAAATTTTCAAATTTCTTTGTCTAAAATTCACACTTTACTATGCATAAAACTATAAGCTCAAGCTTGAAGTCTTTGGTTAATCTATTCTTTAATTTTTCATTGTGCGATTATATGCAATGCATAAAGACAACCAACATTTTTTCAATATTTGTTCTGATGAATAACGAACTATAACGTATTTTAATGAAGTAAATAGCATGATTCTAATTGAGCAATCTTAAAATTTAGCAATGTGCCTATAACGGATTGAGTATGATCATCTGATCATAAGGGATCAGGGGATTTCTAACTGCGATCGTTCCCACTGAATGTTACTTCATGTTAATTCTAATCTGATCATGGAGCGATTAAAATCTGCATCGATTTCATACTGCTTGATTGTGATTTTATGTTTGTTAAGTAAAAACGATAGATGCTGATATCCACCTAAACATTTTGCCTTTTTCTCTTCTTAGTAGTAACATCCACTATTGTCTTTTCATTACATCTGAGCTGAGATCCTTTAATTAATGGGCCACTTTGGAATAATAAGTTTTTTTGCGAACAGCAGCCAACTTATTTTTAATAACAGGCTTGTTTCCTCGGCAAGGTTAAAGTTCATGATTCTATTTAAGCACAATTAAAATAATAGACCACTTTATCTCCATTTCTTTGATGAAATTCATAATTAAAGCAATGATTCGGTGGAAAATAATTTTATAGACCTCAAATAGATTCCGAATTTTTAAAAAAAGGAAAAAATTCGATTAAAAGTCTCAATTAATATAATTCGCCACAGTTTTTATTTGGCCCATTTGGCCCGATAAATTAATAAAAATATATAAAATGCAAATAATGAAACAAAAAACTTTTTAAAAAGTTCTGAAAAGGAATAATGATAACTGACCGATCCTCTTGATTCTCCCGTGCCACCACTGCTGAAGGGCAAACAAGCGAAGAATTTTTCTTTGGTCAGGAAGCACTTCGCTAAACGATCTTCGCAAAATGGCCAATCCCACACGAAACGCTCGTTATAAAATTCTTCGCTATCATCAGTGCTATATTTTACCATTATTTCACAAATAAAATAAATTTTCAGATCAGCTTTTCGACAGCAAAAAAAAATATGTGGTGTTGTACAACCACTATCATTCTAATATATGGCATGATAGCATCTTGGTGTGTCTCAACAATGACGGCAACCGTGCATTTTTCTAATCTGATATCAAAAAAAATGAAAATGGCCACCTGTTTGAACGATGATTAGTCAGATTCGAGTAGAGAAATCGACAATAGTTTATGTTTTTTGCAGCTAAAGGTTTTTTTTGTGCATTATGCTCATTCATTTCGGCAATATCCTTAATATCTGAACTACTTGCTGTTTCTTCTTTTTTTTCTTGGAGAAATGTCATACTGGAATAAAAATTATAAAAGTGACTGAAAATGAAGCAATCGACTGCAAAAACCATTTCCATTTCCGAACGAAGACTTGAGACCCATTATGCGTTCAATAATAACGTGGAAGAGACAAACTTTCCTTCGCCATTTGAATAAAAATCTAAGAAAAAATTGGCAGAACGAAATCTTAGATATCATTACAATCGTTAGTATTTCAATTAAAGATCTTTACACTTCGACTCAACTAATTTTAATATAAACTTAATATCTATGAGATATTTTATCTTCTTCATACCATCAGACAAGATAGAAGTACGCGAGAAAAAGTGATAAGCAATGTAGAAAAACAATATGAAAGTAAAAAAACTTGGAAAATTGGAAAAAAAGGAATAATGCTATGTAATAATTATTATATCTGATTGAGGAATGTCTAGAGTTTCTTAATGAAGTTCCTTCTTTTTCAAATCATTGGTTAGAGAGTTTCTTCCTGAATTTTTCACAAAAAATTTGGTAGAAAATGACTGTGGTAGTTTGAAAAACAATACTGTTTGGGATACTATGGTATATCTAAATATATTTAGCGCATCATTTTTGCTGGCCGAACTGGAAGAAATTGTTAGAGAGTGACTTGGTGATCGAATTATGGAAAAGGATTCCTTAGCATCATTAGCATTTTTAAATAACAACAGATTCATTCTTGCCAATAGTAGAAACTGAGACTAAGAATAATAATAGTAAGCATTCATTCATATTGCTTCATGGATATTTTGAAATTTTGCAAAATTGGAAATTGTCAAAATCTGGTTGATAGCAGAAGATTAACCTGGGTTAGCAGAAAACTTTCCAAGAACAACTAATGAAGAACAAATGGAATTCATAAAACCGTTTTCATCAAAATGAAAAAGTCGGACGAATATTGACGATTTAATTTTTGAAAATTTTTATTTCCCTTTTGCAATTCCAGCCTAATTTGAAAAAGAATGTTTCTCTTGAGCAGCTTTGCTAAAATATATTGATATAGACTGCTTAGAAAAATAGTATAAATTACAATTTTGTTGCATATGGGAGCAACCTGTCACTAAAACCGTTGTTAAGGACTTGTCTATACCGTTATCCATAATTTCTTCTATAGTGCGTTCAAATAAGTAGCGAAAAAAAATTTTCAGATACTCCTAATATATTGCACTGTTTCTTGCAACGAGAATCGAGTTAAAATTGAAAAACGCGAATTAACTAGCAAATCTTGACCTTCACGCCAATGATTTTCGGGCTTTACCTATTATTGCAATAACTCTTTCGGCGAGCATGAAAATCTTGCGGAAGGGTGCGGATGCATGCTACATTCCACGAAACTTAATAGATATTGAATAGAAATATTTCATTGTAGAAAAGAATACCAATAAAGATGAAGGAAAAAATGACATATTTTGAGAGATAAATTTAATGTTTTTACATTTCGTTGGCAACAATTGATAACAAATGTTAAATTTGATAAGAATTTATATACATTATGAAAGTTTTTATAATGAAAACAATGTAAAAACAAATGCGTAAAGTTATAAAAAGTTTAATCGCCTTGCTTTCGATGAAGAAAGCTTTTCTGCAAAGTTTAGAAACAAATATATTGAATTCTATTTTCAAATGTCGATATCTTACTTAGTTTAAACTGAAAGATTAGAAATAGCAAAACGTATATCCTGTGGCAATATTTTAGAATTTATTTCCAATATATTTGTAATAATTGTTATAAAACTGAAATTTTTAAATTAAGAATTGAGTGAGTGGTTAACGCTTATCATTTTTGGTGAGGCTTGCTTCGCTGATTGTTTCGGAAATTCAAAGCGAAATCGCTTATCAAAATCGGCTCTACTACAGTACAGTACAGTTCCTTTTAATATTAATGATAATAGATAATACTAATTTGAACTTTCCCTCTTTTAATAGAATATATGTTTCATTCAGTTCTAAACTTTTAAGTAATTTTGAAAAATTTGAATATCCCTCTGTTTAATTTTATGCTTACTTAAAATCATCGTTATGCACAACATTCTTTCAATATTCCTCAAATTGTTTATAAAAAATGCGCAACTTCTCTAAGCTCTTTTCTCTAAACTTATTACTTTATTTAATTTCAATGCACTAATCGGAATCGTGAGATTTGAAAACAATTATATAACATTTACAAATACAAGGTTTATTATACATATGTAAAATGTAATCGACGAATCAATGTAATAAAATTCAAAATCAATGTAATAAGTGTAATAAAATTCAATAAAAAATCCAAACAAATTTTAAATAAATATAAAATTCATCATATCTATAGGGATAGAATGGCTCAGTGGGTTGTTGCTCAATTGGGAGCGCTGATGTTAAGGTTCGATTCCCTGCAGGAGTAAACTTACAACAAAAACCCGGGTGATGCTGGCGACTCACCTGTATTTCTATCGCTAAAGGAGTCCCTGGCATATTGCCCGATGCGAGAAGCCAGTGGAGCGAGTTTAACCAATGGCGAAGACTCTTTTGAAAAAAATCTATTAAAAATGCCCTGATTCTCCCTTAATTCATATTCTTCTTCCTCTAACTCTCCAGCTCTCACAAATCCAGATCTTGATTGGCCCTCCTCGCCTTTGACCCCAACCATCACGTGAGTAAGATGATAGCTTCTTAATATTTTCCACTCTCATTGGCCATGTTTCGCAGCCATGCAGCAAGGTCGAGCAAATTGCACCTAGATAGACTTTCGTCTTCATGATGATTTCACGATTCCATAGAGGCATCGCCAACCGAAAAAACACATTTCTATCTAAGGTTATCCGGTTGCAATTTCATCCTTTAATCCATTTGGGATCCAAGGTATTTAAAGTCAAACTTGCTCAACCGGTAATGAATTAATAAAAATAGGTATTTTATCAGCATACTGTATATAAGACGAAAACATTTTCGTTTTATTTACAATTTTTTTATTTATTTGTATTTATTTATTTATATTTATTTGATTTTGAGTCCAATTCTCTTTTGCTGCAGTTGTTGACATATTGTTTAATATTATTATTCATTATTCATATTATTCATTTCATTACAGCTATCAGCAAAAAGGACTAATCATCAGCGTCAAGGTGATGCTATGCTCTGGATAGCACACCTCTTGAGTGCCGACAAGTGGTGTTCGTTATCGCATCGTTGAATATTGTAGGGGAAAGGACGCAGCCTCGAACACCAGTTCTTATTTCGAACGATTCTGTAAGTTCTCCATATATACAGACCTAAGCCAGAGTATGCTGATAAAATGCCTTTATGAGCCGAATGATCTTTTCTGTCACTGTTCACATTCCATCACCTTCCAGAGCGCTGTTCTATCAAGCAAATCGAAGGGAGCTTTATAATCGATAAAGTGACGATGGGTTGGTAGCTGATGTTCCAGCACCCTTCTTAGCGTAGATATGTGATCAGCACAATCGCGTTCCGGACTGAATCCAGCTTGGTTAGGACGCATTCTACGTGTTGCCATTGCCATGAGTCTGTTTGGCAGAAGAGAAAGAAAAAATTTTCCGGATGTCCAGAGACTGATTCTTTGGTTATTATCGCAGTACGTCCTGCCATCTTTCTTAGGAATTGGAAGCGAAATTGCTTTGCTTCTGTCGCTGTAATTCAAAGCACCCAGTAGTCAGGATTTCCTAAAATTTGAGCTTTAGCAGCTTTTTCAAAGTTGGACAGTTGTTTCCGACACCCAATTTCCTACTAGCATACTTTAATATGGAAGTAGCTGAAATCTTAGTTGGGATTCAGCATTCATTCGCCTTTGATATCCAGAGCCATTGACGTCCATTTCTCTGAGATAATAAGTTTGAAATGCGCTTATTTTCCGAATCTCCGAGTCTCCGAAATGTTTCCGAATCTTTTAATTTGAGATAGTTGAAAGATCTTGGGATACCTTGTTACGTTTTTTCTTACGACTTGTCAGTTTTATACGCGAATCTTGGCTCGAACCATAACATGATTTGATCCATGGCGGTTACCAGTTTTAGCAATCCAATAAGAACGACTATCGAGTACAGAACTTTTCATAGGGACCAATATATAGTCAATTTGATTGGAATATTGGTTGTACGGAGAATTCCACATGATGTTTCGATGCCGAAAGCATCAAAGTCTTCATGCTCTTCAGCAAAACGAAGGCGTTCGCCATTAGACAACGATGCCATATTTGCCAGTTACCGAATTCATCGTAACTGCATCATGACTTACGCACACATACCAGTCATCATGTCACCTATCGATAGCGATATTGTTAACAACTGAAGCTTCAATAAAACTTATCCTTATCATGGTCGTTTGCCCATAAAGCCAGAGTACTGATGATCGAAATATTGCAGAACTTTCCTATGAAAGTTGGTCATTTACTGGCATAAGCGCAAGCCATATGGTCATTCACTGGTCATTTCCATTTAATCGAGCCTTTTCAAACATTGCAATTGCTATGCCATTTCGCCCCGAGTTATCCGATTTACCACAGTGATATAACCAATATCTTTGCTTGGAACCAGGTTTAATAATTACTCGAGAGCCGACATCAAGGAGATGGAATTTCGACAAAAAAATCGCATCCATGCGGTATTTAGGAAAGATGTGGACATTGATCGCTTGGCTCGCAACATCCATAAGCGTTCTGACGTTCCAAGTAGCTATAGCCAGCACCTCGCCTCGCATACAAAATATTAGCGGAGTTCTCGACTCCCTTGATGTGCTCTGAGAAATTATCCCGGATCACAAGCATATCCTGTCTTCAAACTCTTAAATTATTTCATTATTATTATTACGTCAGGATCGTATATTTATCGTAACCGGGTCAGAAGTATCATGCGCATTGGAAGACGCAGACATCGTAAAGAGACGTGACCCTTTCACCATAGAGGATATATAGGCCCCCAGCAATTAATTCATATTGATAATATTCCAATAAGGCGAGACGTATAAAATTCGAGTGAAATAAAAATTTTTGATTCCCTTCTACTGAATAGAATTATGGCAGTGTTAGTCAGGATATACCTAATCAAGCTGGATTCAGAGCAGCAAGCTTGGTGATCAAATATTCACGCCAAGAAAATTGTTGGACCATCAATTCAAATATTAATCTTGGCTATAGTAAATACTGTAATGTCAGCTTCTTAAATTTAAACATAATGAAATCATTTATCTGGAAAACTAAATAAAATTATAAGCTAAAATTTTTTCCTTCCAAAATTGATTATCCGAATAGATTGTTGAAGGATGTGGCTCTAGCTACGAAATTCAAGCCAATTTCTAATTTGTACTTCAAGAAGAAATTAAATTAAATTAAATTAAAAGTTAGATAAAATTATAAAGATATTATTTTGAACCAATTTTGATGTCTTACTTTCTCTTTTTTTTTGTTCAACTTTTTTAAAGTTTTAAATTTTTGTTTTAAATTTTTTGCTCTTCTCCTTTGACTACTTTTTTTTTTAATTTTTTATTTTTACAAACCCTCAATATTTTTAAGCCAATGTAATTGCTTTCTAAACTTATTAATAAATGCTAAATCAACAAATTAATTAGATATCATTTTATGGATCGTTCGAAGAGAATTAGTATGGTTGGCTTTTGCGAAATTTGCAAAATTTTTTGGCACATGATTTTTTGCATTAGGAAAATTTTTGATTTAATATGAATCCAGTTTTAAATAAATTTTTAGGTCGAATCTGGCCTTTGATTTCTGGAATCAATTTTTGTAAATTTAGGAAAAAAGTTACCTTCATTGACCGTTTCATTAGAATTAATAATAAGCGAATGTTGACGAGTATGAATTAATCAGATCATTTAACAAAAACCGTTAAGTCTTGAATAATAATCAGCATGCGACGATTTCGAATCATTGTTGCCGGTGAAAAGTTTTCACTTAAGTAATATTTTATTACTACAATTATAACTACTATATTACCATTACTACTAGTAATTATCACTATCAGTGTTATTTATTTATTAGTATCAATTTTATTTCGATTGTCAATATTATTTTTTATTAATCTATTACTATTACTTTGAATGAAATTATTATCAATAGAATTAATCAGCAATATAAAATATACCTTATTAATATAAAACCAATATATGACTTTTTTCAGAAAATTTTTGATTATAACATGAAGTTTAAGCTAATTTTTTGCAATATTTTGATGATATTTGGAGCGAATATTCAAGGTTATGCAAGTTATAATATAAAGTTTAATAAAAAATATCAAGATTGTAATTGAATTTTTGAAAAAGACTGCATTCTAATATTTTAGTATACTGTCCTGATTATGGCATCGTGAAAGATGGTATAATATCATATTATCCACTCTATGACAAATTTTTACATCCTCCTGCATCGACTATGCATTTACTCTGTTTGCCACTGTATTATCCTACTGGAACAGTTCAAGCAACTTGCCAAAATGACGGAACTTGGGATAACGTTCTTGGTTAGATCTGTGCATTTCATCACTACTGTCATTTATTCAACTTATTTGAATAGGGAAACTGCAATGCATTTTTTGAAAGCTAGTGAATTTTAAATTTCTACTCGGAAATACTTACTATACAAATTCCAAAAATTGCAAATCATGCATTTCAACTTATTTAAATATTGATTTTAATTTATTTGAAAGTAATTAAGCTTAACAAAAAATAATATTTGAAATGATTTAAGCACAAAATCCATGAATTATAAAAAGAAAATGCCTTTAATTCAAAAATTGTTAAAAATCTTAAATCTTAAAATCTTAAAAATAATATCGCGAATCTTGCCTTGATCGTAAATAACTGTTGATAAGTAGCAGCAGATCAAATATTTTTATTATTATAGTAGCAAGTTTAGCCCAATGAATAAACTGACCGAATTTGCCATTACATAATTATAATGATGGAATTTTCAGGTTCATGTAAGCCAATAATTCCAACATCAAGCAATACCAGTTGTACAGCCCATACTAATATCAACAATAGATCAATTACTTATTTCGGTGTAAGATTGCTTATTTTCTTAAAATGTGTCCATCTTAGAGATTCATGAATGGATTTGAAGGAGTCTACAAACATCCCACAAACATCGAAAATACTCAAATTTTAATTAAAAAAGAATTACAAGTATCAAAAGAATTTTTTTACCTTTCAGATTCCAATCAACTCAACGTATCCACAAGGAACCATGGCCTTCGTAAACTGCGCTAATATTTCTCATCATATTAGTGGTAGTCATTCAGCAGTTTGCATAGAAGGCAAATGGTCAACCAAGCTAGGAAAATGTATTCCATCTCAAGCGTAATTATGCATTCTGAAATCCATTTCTCATCATGCACATGTGGGCTATTTTGCTGAGAATCTTTTTTTAATTTTTAAAGATTTTTCTATGAAATGACTATTATCAATTTTTTCTTCTAACAGCCACTTTTCGTTCAGCACGAGGCTTCTTCACTAGAGAGTCAGTCGAGAGAGGAGTATAGATTGAAAGTTTGCTACCAGCTCATTGTTATTATTATTATGGATTTAAAATTATTTCGAAAATATATCTTCAAAAAGTATATTTCAGTACTTCTTATTCCTATGATTTTTTATCATTTTTGATCCTTAACGTTCATTTTTATTTCATTATTTTCCATTGTGTTTCTGATAAATATTATTCAAATCAATTCTGAATCGCTTTATCAAACAAATTCCTCATTCGCCTATGAAATTTGATGAAAATCTTGTCATATAATAATTATCTAATACTAAATATCAATATTATTTCGAACTAAATTAGAATCTCAAATTTCATGAATCTCAAATTCGAAAATATTTTGGTTGTAAAAAAAAACAAACGCTTGGTTAAAGGTTAAAGATAAATTTAGATGCATAAATGAATTGTGACGTGAAAGAATTGTTGATGATATTAATGATAATCACAGTCGTTTTTTCAGCATTTTTTGTGAATCAGTTATTTTGATAATTGTTATGTTTAAGGTAAATTGAATATTTTGATTATTTGTGGTATATATAATTTTTTCTTCCAATAGCATTCATGGGATGTAGCTGGTTCCACTGGATAGGATGAGAGGATGATTCTTAGCCATTTATGCAACCATCTGTAGATAGAATACACGTGGATTTTCAGCACAACTCGATTTCATGTTTAATAAAAGGTTTTACATCCGTCGTAACTAACATGTTGCAATACCATCTATGATGGCTCATCTCATTTGAAGCAACAAATTGCTTGACCATTTTGTTCCTATTTTGTTAACATAAGGCTATATCAAATTTATTCAATCTTATTATCAGTGACTTTTTACATAACAATAACAATATCAATAACAATAAGTGGTAAATGAAACATAAAATATAGCGAAACTGGCTATAGAACGAGAATATGCTTAGCAAAATAATATTCTTAAACTTATTTTATTTATTTTATTTATTCATTTATTTATTGACAGTTATTGTCAATAAATAAATAATCGTTCAGGCAGTTTGATGGAGTATTCGATTTTCATATTGATTTTAACGGGGCAGAGGTGCGCAAATTGAAAGTGGGCCCCAATTACCATCGACGCAATAAGCCACTGTAAAACCGATAGCATAATAGCCTTTATTACAGATCATCAATACCGAAGAACCTGGCGCATAGGGTTCCGAAAAAAAAGTGCTTTGCAAATACTGAAGCTGTAAAATTTAATGCTTAATCAATAAAAAAAATAAATGAATAAAGAACCATATAGGACCATCTTTAGATGAAATCCAGATTTAGCTCGCAATAAGTTAGCAACTGGATTAGTATCCATCATCTTTTCTATTAGCAGACAAGCCAAATAGGTAGACTTACTTCAGCATTATCAATCTTCTCGTGCTCAGCACAGAGAATACTTTTGCAACCCTTAAGCGGTGGCATCCATACTCCGACCGTACATAATGAGCTCATAGGGCCAACTGGTCTCTCTGTGATCTTACAAGTCAGGTATGCATAAGTGCCAGACGAGAAATTTCCTCCACCCACTGGCTAAATTAATTTATTGTTGCACAATAATTGATTATATGGCAAATTTCATATATATGATGCTTATTTTAAGGACTATGATTTCTTTATGATTATTTTATTAGATACGACTACCGTTAAGCAAGTAAGTAAGCGACAAGTCAGAGTTTACAAGTATGATTCCAAGGATTTCAAGGATGATTTGTTGAGAAAATAAAATATCTATGACTTCGATGAAATGAAAAGAAAGCTGATTTTGGAAATTCTTCAGCATTTTTTCACCTGAATGTATTTGACGTTGCTGGCCGTATAAGGTACACAAACTTCAGATTTACAAAGTCCTGAAAAAGCTTTTTCAACGAGCTTCGCGTACTTTTTACTTTTACTTATCAATTTTGCTCGATTTTCATCATTTAAGCTGGATACTGAGGGGTTCGAAAACCAAAGCTACCATCTTATTTTTTGTAAAGAAGTTTAACAACAACAAACATTCTCGCATTTATTAGCTCTTATTCAATTTTCTTACACCTTTCAATAGTACTTTTTTTTAAATTGCGTAATATATAGGAAATCAGCAATTTAATATTTGATTATTTGAAATTAATATTAATATTTGAAATTAAAAATTTAATAATTTATCGTAGCACTATCTATAATTCACAGTTAAACCATTTTCTAAATTAAAAAACATTTCATTTAAATTAAATTAAATAAATCTAACCTAAAAGAATTTGAAAAGCAAAAGCAGCAACCAACATGGAAAACATTTGGATCAAGTGATTCTGGCCGTATGGTGTTGCAAATTTATAGAGAAATTCATCTCTGATTCTTTTCCAAAAATTCTTTCCTTTTTTTTGCATGCGACTCGATCTTTTCCAAAAATTTGCGAAATAAACTATTGGATAGTTCAGCCGTATTTGACAATTTTATCAATGGCCGAAATGCAATTCGTCGTTAATCAATCATTAATTTAGCAAAAGTGGCGACAAAAAGCTGTAAAAGTCTTATGATAAAAAGATTTTATTCATCAAAGATTTTCAAACTTTTCTCGAATTTCTTTGTTACTTCCATAATTATTTCGCTGTATCTTCATTAAAATGTCATTTTACTATACGTTCATATGAATGAAAAAAAGAGAAATATTTAGATCAAAAATTGATAAATGAATCGATTTCGTTAGAATACAATGGAGAATTAAGAGACGGTTTTAACAAAATTCTGGAAAGTTACAAACTTTATTTGTTTTATGCTTTCATTTAGAACGTACTTTTAAAGTCGACATTCATTAGACTATTACTCTTCATTTCAATTAATATTCTTTTCGTCACATTCATTGAAATTCATCACGAAGAAGCCTTTCTGTGCTTATATATTACAGTATAGTTGTTACAATTAAACAAATAAAACGAGTCCTTTAGTGATACCAATTTGCTTTATTAACATGTAAAAGGTGAAAGTGTGAAAAAAGCGTTGTCAAAGGACGATGTGCTCAAACTTTTAAATATAATAATCTATCATAAACTGTGAAAAACTCCCCCAACCTCCGTCAAATAGTATCCTTCTAGCACATTCTCGCAATGCAAAGGAGTAGAGTAAACGGGATAATTGGGAATATTGAGGGACTATAGCGAGTTTCAGTCTGATGGCAAAACCGCCTTTTAAAGACGGATGTAGGTCTTCTTACTTATTCCATATAAATGATTTTTTTTAACATGGCCAAACGAAAAAACCAGTAAAATATTTCCATCTGATAAATTTTTTCATTAACAAATCCAATTATTAGCAATTTTATGTAATACCTTCAGAAACTGCCTTCAGTGTTTCTCTTTTGTAAAAAGTGGTAAATGAGCGCTTTTACATGTGCTTCTATAGCATTTTTTCAACACCGAGCAATTGCATGCTGTTTTTAACGCATGATTAACTGCCTTTTTGTCGGTGAGCTTCGATCATTTTCAACTGGAATTATTAAAAAAGCGAATGTGGTCGATTTATTTAAACCGAATATTGTCGATCGAATACTGATGAATATTTAAATTTTATGCAAGTAAAGTACAATACAATAAAACAACGCCACATCATTCTCCATTCTTTCTTTCATTCATTTGCGTTACGAATAAATAATGGTGGAGGATTCGGTGAGAAATCTCTTAAGAATCTTTTTATCGCTTTCCAAATGTTATACAAGTGCCGAGCATAGTCCACTCTCCATTTACGCACGTAGCAATCGTTAAACCATACGGATAAAACCCACTATCACAGTTTAATTGCACGACTGAACCAGGTGAATAAGGATTGATGTATAAAATATTGTGCGTATATTCAAGCTGCAAATGACCATTCACATTTAATGAATAAATTTTAAAGGCCATTGATATGATTTTGTTTACTTAATTCGTTGAATGAATAACTTAAGAAGAAGAACAATCATCTCTGATTTCTTAATTTTGATCTATTATCTATCATCTTATTTTATAACCTATACTCGTTTGCTCAATATATATTTGAAAAGTATGGAAACTAACTGTTGCATTGGAAACGGGCAAATGTGGAGAACAAATCAAGTTTCTGCATTCACCCAAAATTGGCATCCAAATTCCATTATTGCATATCGAACTTAAAAAGCCGACTCCTATTTCTAAACCGAAACTACACTGCAAAAAAGCCAGTGTACCTGTTGAGAAATGAGTGCTTGGTGATGGCTAAAAATTTGTCAGTATAATTCAAAACCTAGACTTTTATCGGAGATGGCAATAATTTGTTGGTAATTTTAAAACATTGGAATAAATCTCACTGAAATGAAAGAAGAAATTGATTTGTTTTTATTGATATTATTTATTTCGATGTCGACTGCGTCTCATCTCGTAATGCTGGTTGCATTGGCCACAATGCTCTTTCATTAGAGAACCATGTGTTGATGGAATCTACAGCCATATTTGTATGATCATCACTCGCTTTTAGTGAGAGGTTTTTATAGTTTACATAGGCTTTTTTACAAACGGCAGGAATTAATAAGGCTTGGAACTCAGTCGAAGAAACGCACCACTAAACGATCATTGTCCCAATTGTACCAGTTGTACTCTCTCCATTGTACCAATCAAATGAACTAATTAAAATCTTGGAAAGATGTAAAAATGCAAAAATGGAGCAACTAACATGTTTATAAAAAACAGTTTTGTTTGAATACGGCGTACAAGCTTGCAACTGTGAGATTATCAATGCTGAAAACAAAGTTACATGACCAAATCATCATAAATTAGTTAAATAAAGAAAAATTCTTTGTTAAGTATATAGCCATCTTATGCACAAATGTATCTTTGCTGAGCAATATTGTTCAATTACCTGTAAGTAAATGTAGCAATAGAAAAATTTGTCGAGCCATAAAGAATTTCCTAAAAATTTTTTCGTACAATTTTCGATCAGTAAGCTAAATATACAAGCATGCAAATCGCATTGATAATAGGTGAAAATAAATAATAGCAAACTTCGCCTTCTTCATTAAACAACTATAAATCGGGATGCAATCAGTGAAATTATACGGGATAATGATGTGCCTGGCGTATAAGATAGAAGAAATTTTTTGAGGCCAAACTAAGATGCGCCATCCGATGTAGCAGGTATCGCTCATCCAGCCATATGTCTGCAACCAATAGGACAAGAAATAATCTCTATCATGCAGAAGCTTAAAGCCAATAAAATTCCCGGAGAAAGTGGTGTTCGGGCCAAACTCATCAAATAATCCTTATAATCCAAATAATCCTTTGCTCATAATCCTTCATATCACACTTTCAATAAATATATCTCTGGTATGGAAGAAAAAAAATAGTACCAGATGATTGAAGCAAAGCAATTCTGCTCCCAATTTGAATTGAATTTAAAAAATAATAGGACATATTGTGATAATTACAAAGTAATTAGCTCGGGCATCTCTGGGAATTTTTTGCTTTCCTCCTGTTGAATAGACTTATGGTAGTACGAGACAGTAGGAGCAGGATGCACCTTAGGCAAGCCGGATTTAGATCGCGGTTGTGTTAATCAAATATTCACCTTAAGAATAGTAATGGAATATCCTTTCAAATATATACAACATAGCGTCATGACTTCGTCATCGACTTGATTGCTACATATTATTCAGTGGGTAGAGCTGCTCTTTGGAGGGTGGTGGAATTTGATCGTGTTCCAGAGAAAATCATTCGACTCATAAAGGCATTTTATCAGCATACATCGACGCAAGTCTCTATACATGGAGAACTGAACGTCTTTGAAATAGGAACTGGTGTCCATCAAGACTGTCATTTCCCCTATATATTCAACTAAACGACAGAGGACATCGGCGTTCAAGAGATATACAAATCAGTCTAGAAATCACAGATCTTGAATACGCCAATGATGCGCCCTTTTTGTTGACAGTCATGACGAAATGCAAATAATGTTAAACAACTGCAGCTTCAGCAACTGCAGCAAAAATCGGATTCAGGATCAATGGAAAGCCTTTCTTCTTACATACAAGAAGCTAATAAAATACCTATTTTTATCAATTCGTTACTGGTTGAGGAAGTTCCAGACTTTAAATATCTCGGATCCGCTCTAATCTCAAATGGCCAAGCGAAAGACGAAATTACAACCAGGATAATGGCAGCTAGAAATGCTTCCTACTGGTTGATGAAATCTTTATGGACACGTCTATATAGTCTAATTCCCTAGATCTTGATATATGACTATGAGACATAACTGACGAGAGTGCAGAATATTAAAAAGTCATCTTCGTTTGACCACTCATTACTAAGATAAATTTTACGGATACGCAGAATGGATGAAATCTCACATGATTGCATACATCTTCGGTCAAATTAGCATTTGCATTAACACTATCGTCATACAAAGTCGCCTCCACTGGGGCATTCTTCATCACCAAACAAAGGAAATATTTTTCATTATTTGTTAAACCGTGATGGATAGCATCACGGTTAAAAGCGAGGAGGGCCAATCATGAATAATAGAGTCTGGAAAAATTTTGAACATATTGGTGGATCAACGATATATGTGTTTAAACGATGGAAAAAGGAATAGTTTCTATTATCGATGGCGTCGATCTTCTTATCCTTGTAACTAGCAGAGAGCCTAACCAATAATGGTGAGAACTGTTAGAAGAAGAAGCTCTATTTTATGCAATACTTCAGGTAGTTAACAAAAGCTTATGATAAAGTTAAAAATGGTGGAAAGAATTTGATAACCTAAATTAAAGGAAAGAAATTGAGTGAAAAAATTATTATATCGTGTAAGAAGGTGCACAATGCGAGAGTGGTGAACTATAATCAACCACCATGCTTATATAATTATTTTCAAAATTTGTAGAATGATTCACTTATAAGCCTTTTTACTATTTTTTACCTACTGTTCATGCTTTATTTTATTAATTTGATTTCCTAGGTCTGATAGGAACTATCATTAAGAAACCGACATGGTATTAGCGGCACATCTGCACTTCCTTTGCCAAACGACCATAAAATGCGCAGAGCTGGGTTTCACCATAAATAATGAACGCCAAACTTTATTTCACTCAACTTTATTAATATGTAATTCTTTAAATTCAAGTTTTACTATAATGAATATTTGTTAATTGCCACATTTCCTATTTTTCATGCATTTTTTTGATATTTCTGAAGTCTTAAATATTCCTTCACTGAGCAGGAAAGTTTTCAGCTGAGTGAACCTGCCACTGAAAGTGAAATCCTTATGGTGTTCATGGCCCTATTTCTATCCACAGGTAATTCTTTTTCGAAAGAATCTCACCCATTTAGTCCGAGAAATTATGAATGCTTTTAGACGAAGAAAATGCCAAAGAAAAGAAAGCGAAGGTGCACAGTGAAGGTGAGAGTGGTGAACTACGATCAACCGCCATGCTACGTAATTATTTTTTTTGTGAGGAGATGGTACATGCTTGTAGCTATTGTAATTTTCCGCTAAAATATCCTAAAATCCAATAGTAATTTTTAAAAGTTCCTTGCCTAATTATGATGAATAAATAACCGTTTTTATTTTACTGAAATTCGCCGCGAAAAATCTTGGAATGCAATGAAATGTATGCAATTTGCGATGATTTATTGCTTATTGCAATTTAATAAATTATATGAATATTTAGTTAAAATTTTTCATGCATTAATGATCAATCTGAATGTGAATCAAAGACCACAGGAAAAAGACTTTGAAATTGATAACAATAAATTTATAAATATATACAATTTGCAAACAAATTCAGCAAAAAATTGTTTAATTTTAGCTGAATTTATTCACCTTGTTCGAAATCTTTCGGATAAGTTTCGGTGGATTTGTTCACCTTGTTCGAAATCTTTCGGATAAGTTTCGGTGGATTTGTTCACCTTGTTCGAAATCTTTCGGATAAGTTTCGGTGGATTTGTTCACCTTATTCGAAATCTTTCGGATAAGTTTCGGTGGATTTGTTCACCTTGTTCGAAATCTTTCGGATAAGTTTCGGTGGATTTGTTCACATTGTTCGAAATCTTTCAGATAAGTTTCGGTGGATTTGTTTACCTTGTTCGAAATCTTTCCGATAAATTTCGATTTCGATTAATAATATTCTTTTTCCGCGAACTTAATGTAATTTCAATAATATATTTTAATATCTCCAACAATATTAAAAAATAAAATGGGAATCTAAAATTGGTGAACTGGCCACTACTGCATCGCAGGATGTTTGCATAAAGGATAGTTTGCGTAGTCAAATTGCTTAGACTAAGATTCAATCATCATGGGCACGGTTCCTTTCCTTTGACGACGGTGAACGAAACCTGAGTGGTGATGCTCGACCATATGTCCATCTTTAGGTATTTCTGGTGTCGATCTTTTTATTTTAAATAACCAAATTTTTTTCATTTGATCTCCATTTTCCTAGAATAATTTGAATACTTTACCTGCCCAAACATTCTATTTATTTTTCAATCATTGATTTAATTTCATCCATATAAATTTTAAAACAATGAATCAGAATTCAGAATTTTCGACTGGTTGGATTGCCTAATTGGCGAATTTTTAGATTTCAAGAGTTGAAATTTCAAGGTGGGTAAAGCTTGCCAGCAAGCTACGAACGTCTAAAGCTGCATTGATAAGTACAATCGCCTTGAAGAAATTTTTTTCTGATGTGTTGAAAAGGAAGAAAAAATTTGAATAATTGAAGTTACTGGATTTTTATAATCATTTATATTTTTATAATCATCTGTAATTATCATTTGCAATATTACTTGATTTAATATTATTTTCACTTTCTATACTGTGCCTCGCCGCATGAGATTATGACAATTAGAATAGTTACTAACCTACGGTATGTAAGATGAAGAATTCACAAGAATCACCGTTTATGTTCCCTTTTCAACTATTACAGTTCACAACTAAATATTTGATCATTGTTTGATTGTATTATTGTAAGCTGTTAAAATTATGGAGAAATCACTGTCGTCAAGTGATCTATGATTTAATCGCAGTTCACGCGGAAATATAATCAACTATTCAGGATTCGCTTTCGCTATCCAAAAACCCAAAGATAATTTGTCTAGTTCACACAAATTTCCTTAATATTATTTATTTTTTTTATCAGATTTAATTTATCTGAAAGATCAAAATTTATAAAGCGAAATAAATGTTTGTACCAAGAAATGTTGCACTTATATATGCTGCATTTAAAACTTCGCTATACCACTTTTGCAGAACAGTGGAATGAAATGGAGATTTAAAAAAAAAGCAAACTGTTCTTGCAGTTTTTTTTCCTTGCATTTCTGGATGTGTGAAATAGTAAAAACAGAAAAATAGATAAGTACAACTTCCTTCGTATTCCACATAAAATTTAAAAAAATAGAAGAAATATAAATGCCTTACATTAGTATATTTTTGATTTTTGATAAACAATAAAATTTAAATAAAACAAGCGTAACATTAAGTAGAAAAATATAAAACATCTTACTAAAATAAAAAATAGCCTTTGTTTCCAAAAAAACTACCCGTATTAGAGTAAAGACGAAAATTGCAACAATTAATAGAATAAAGAATTAGAAATAACAAGAAAAACCGAAAAAAAATCGCTTAGTAATCGTTTAGTAATTCAGATATGAGTAGTAATGGTGAGTGTCTTAATTCGATTAGAATAAAATAAAAACTAAATTGTTTTCACCAAAGAATTTAGAAGATGAAAAAAGTAATGGCTTTATCTAGTATACATGAATCAGAAAGTTTGGAAATGCCTTATCCTAGTCATTAGACTAGGAAGTCAAACAAATTCCGTAGTTGATATTTTGGAAAATTTTGTATCAATGCCTAAATGATCAAAAAAAAACTATGGAATAATATTCATATTGAAAACTATAACTTTAGAATCAAATATTCATAAGTCATGTATACAATTTGAAATGGTGATATTTCATTTGTTTTTTCTTGATATAATACGTCATTTAAGATATCGCAGTTTGATGGACGATTAATATTGGCTGGGTCTTCTAAATCCCATATACTGCGATAGCCACATTCTGATCTGCAATAAACATCTGAACATAACAGATTAAAAATGGATTATGACTGAAAATTGATCAAATTTTATAAAAATATAAAAATATGATTTTACAAAAAAATGTAATAAGTATTGCCAGATCAAACGCACAACGGATTTCGTGATTTGTCGCGACCAAGCTCTTCTGCACATCCATATAATAGAGTATTTTATTAGAATACAGAGTATTAATATATAAAAACATTGTGGCCCAAGAAAAAAAAGAAAAAAGATAGGCATGTTTACTTAGTTGGTTTTGAACATGAACCTGCATGGTGCAAGAAATAATTTACACCCATATCCTTTAATGAGCCATACACTTCTGCTAAAGGTTTTCTACTGAACATTGCATATACCTTCATCGTTCGATTTCTGAAAGATTTAAAATAAAAAATTCGTCATAATTTATTTAATTCGTCTATTCAAGAGCAAAATTTTTTTTGCCTAAATTTTTCAACATTATCTTAAAATATTTATTAACGATATTGAAGACTTATTAAGGATAATATTTCAATGGGTACCTTAAACCTACATCCTCATAATGAGGGTGGTTAACGATGGCTCGATTAGTGGATAGTTTTACACTTGCCATAAATGGCATTGGTCCAGCAAAAACACAGTCTGAAATTAAAATTATTAAATGAAAATATAAGTGTAAAAAATGGATACCCTTTTTTTAAAATCATTTTTTCCACAATTTTTATTATTACTTTATTTATTTTATTATGTAACAATAAATGCGTGATAATAAAACTGCAAAAATATAGAATGAAATGATGAATGGAGAAAAAGCCAACTTGGTTCAGTGTTTCTTATAATCCAATTTAACAACATTTCCTGTTCGGGATTGTTAAATTCACCCATAATATTCCACTGGTTTTGCAAATTTGATATTCCCTTAAAGCTCATCATTGCTATAAGAGCTACTGTAACTGCTCTTCGAAACTTCGATGAAATTCGTATGCTTAATGCTTCATTTATGATCTATAACAATAAAAATAATGCAAATTCTTCAAAACAAAATCCTAAAATAAATGTTCGGTTAATAAATATTCCAAAAAAAAAAGACAGATAAGGATTTACCTTAGAATTGGCAATAATTGAAGCTGTTATACAAAGGTGTGGAACAAAAAAAAGCTTGAGACGCATTATCAATATCGCCAAGATTCCAAAAAATACACACTGTATTGTATTGTAAAATATCTAAATTAATGGAATTTTGAAAATAAATCGGTTTGCCTTTTATAGCTCGTTTCATAATGCTACAATATAAACTGCGAACTATTTCTGTGGATCTAGGATTTTTGAAATCTGGAATTAAAATTATTCCTATAAGAATACCTCAGCCGGTAAACTATTTCTTGGAGTTTCTCTCTTTTTGAATAAGCGAGGTAACTCTTTCCGAAAGAAAACGATGGCAAGCAAAAAAAATACTAAACCAGCAGTCGGTAATAAAAGTGTTTCCATCGTTGTCTCAACAGTCTGCAAAAAAAAAGAAAATTTAAAAAAACTTGCCAAGAAAACATATGAGCAGAAATAAAAATTTACTTTTTAAAAGCGACCAGAATTTCTATAATACTATACTATTTCTATAATGTAAAATTTACTTCATATCCGAGAAAATCAAATTCTTTGGCACAAGTGTAAAGTCGCGTATGAAAATTGGAATAATTGGTAAATTTTGCACGAATTAATTGAAATATATGAGCCTGTAAAATCTTGAAATGAAGTCATTTTCGCTTTCGATGATAATCACATTTTAACTGAACCTTAAGAATTTGTACATAAAATTCATCAAATTAAAGTAAACGAAATAAATTTTACATCATCTTCTACATGAAGCGCCCTACTGAATAAAATTTTCAATCCCATCGTTCCGCTAACAAAAACGACACAGCTAGCAATGACATAAATCAGATTATAAGTAATACGTCTGAATATCTGATGGAATTTCAGTATCGTCTGAAAGAAAAAAAGCCTTTAAAGCAACACAATGAACACGATAAAAAGAATCCAAAATTAGGAAAACTTACGAAAAATGTGATTAATCCGGCAAAAAAAAACGAAGTAAGTAACATTTCATTCCCAAACAGTAGTATAAATGCAGCTGCAAATGCACCCTAAAAATCTTTCTATAAATTTGAATTCACAAAATTAAATTAAATATAAAATTAAATTCACAAAGAACAACTTTTCTGAATATGCAACATATTCCTTCAAATAATGACCCATAAATAAAATCAACTCAAATGATGCACTTCCATAAATTTAAATAAATATCTATAGCTCCATTGGCCGTTAGTACAGTCGAAAAGACTTTTGTTAGAGAGTTGCTAGGCGATAGAATAATAGGCGGATTGATAACTCTGATTTCTTGAAAACACTCGGAGGATGACGCTGAACCGCTTATTCTCAACAGTATAATAAGCTACTTCGCTAACAGCTCGGCTAATTTGCCTTCTTATTTTCCAAAAAATTTTCAAAAAGAGCAAACAAAAAAGATCTAAAGAAAACTTGAAGAATGGACTTGTAATCTTATCAAACCTGTCAGTTTCATGAAAGTATTTAAAAAGATGCCTCCCATTTGTATCAATTAATTTCCCTTTAAATATTTATGGTAGTACAAAAATTTCGAAAAGAATTTTAGAAAATTTTAAAAAATTTAATGCGATACTTACCATGTAGGCATAAATTAATGTTAATGCCATTTTTTCATTGATATAATCAAACGAAAATAAAATAAAAAGAGCAGCTATTTGAGTCGTTAAAGCAAACGATGCAAACTAGAAAATAAAATAATTAATTTAAATCGAAAATTTTCAGTTTTTTCCCAACACAAAAAATTGAAATTGCATTGATAAATAAACTGCATTTGCATAGCAATATTTAAAATAAGGTAAAGTCTGACTATCGCAAAATGGCGAGAACAAAAGACTACTTTGGAGATGGCTTTATTCTACTCCTTTAACGCTGTGCCATCCCACGGTGCTTTTATTTCCTTCATTGCGCCAATCATTGGATTCTTTTTGTATTTTTCATGCTACATTGGTCCTTTTTGGCCTTTTCTTTATAGGTATCATCCTTTTCTTATATAGAACTGTTAAATCTAGCATTCTCCGAGATAATTGTATCGCGCCATTGCTTTTTCTATAATATATAAATGATATCACCAAAGTGATACTAAATTCTACAATTTATCTTTATGCTGATGGTTGTAAAATTTATTATTCTCATCATAGAGCGGATAATCTGTCTCCATTGCAGGAAGACTTCAAGATAATAGCCAACTGATTATTTGATAGGCAAATCACTTTCTTTTCAAAAGTGTAGTGTTTTTCATATATCAATTTTGAAAGACTCGATCTTCCTAATCTTTTTATTCATGGTAATATAATCAGTAGAGTGTCACACATTCCCGATCTTGGAATAATCATGGATGAAAATCTCGATTTCGACCTTCACTGCAGAACCACGGTGAAGAAATCCTCGAAGATACTAAATTTTATTTTTCCTTCGTTTAAGAACAAAACTGAAGATTTCCTTATCAAAATGTACAAAGCGTTCGTTCGACCACTTTTTGACTAAAATGCTACATGTTACTCCCCGAGATATCGCAAATCAAATAGATTAATTGAAAGACTCCAAAAATATTTTATACGACGCCTCTCTCCTAATAGCAGTTTTAATTATAAAAGATACCTTTAACAACACGACCTGGATTCTCTCTCAATTCGGCGAATTAAATTCACAAAATTCACTTATAAAATTTTATATGGTTATGTTAAACTGTATTGTTCAAAATATCATAATTTTAGGCTAAATTTGAATCCAACAACAACTAATGGGCCAAAATTATTAAAACCTATGAAATTAAGAACTTCTTTATTTGTAATATTACTAGAATAAGTTACCGAACGATATAGCTTGTACGTCATCCTCAGCTACCTTTAAAAAAAGATTAGATAATATCATTTATGATATTATTTAAAAAGTTCACATCAAGCAGGAAGTAAAATCTCGATTTTAACCATCCAATTATAGATAATATAGTTCTTTTTGCTAATTTTTATGTTTATATTATTTTTATATTTTCTTTTTTTCTTATTATTAACTTTTTTCTTATTTTAACTGTTATTAATACAAGCACATGCGTTGTCGCCCCTGCTTGGCTGGTTTTCAATAAATAAATTTGTTGATAAAGCAAATGTTCGTTCGAATCCATTTTCCATTTTTACGACGCCATAGTAGCCTTTTGCTTTCGCCGTTTTATAATACTTATATTGTAAAATATTAGTTTTCGCCACGAATTCTTAAGAGATATTGAATAGGCGAACTATTAAACAAATTTACCTGCCAGACTAAGAAAAACATAGTAGTAGGCACACCAATGTATAAAATCCATATTTTTTTATTCGTTTTATATCTAAAAAATTATATCCATTAAAAAAAAAGATACATTATATCCATATCCATCAAAACGAAAAATGCAGAAATGAGCAAAGTTAACCAAAACATTAATCACAACAAGAATTGAAATCAGATAGCAAAAACTGGTGAAAAGGCTTGTAACCGTTATTAACTATCTTTTTTTAATAGCTTTTGCCATTAATATTTGGTTAGATCTAGTAACCTTCGTCAAATATGGAAATATGGATACATGAGCAATACTGCTCGGATTTAATTTTTTCTTTTGATAGTTTAATTTTCATCAGAAGACAGATGAACCAAAGATGTGGAGAAAACGAAGCCACTCGATTATCTTTGCCTATATAAGAAAATATCTAAAGGAAAATAAAAAAAGAATTGCGAAAAATAATAGTAGACAAACATACTTTAAAAAGTAAGTGATAATAGTCATTTGTATCGCAAAGATTGGATATCCAAACGATTCTCTCAATGGTGGAGTCCACTGAACACGGGAACATTCTGTCTGATTATAGAAAAGACATATCGAACTAAGAATCCCTCCTAACAGTGAATCACTGAAATTTGGCAACTTATATTTGATGAGAATTTTAGATTTTAGACAATGAAAAGAAAAAAAAAATATTCAAAAAATATTTTATAGCAATAATATTGCAAAAAGGTACTGAAAATTCCTAAGCCAATAAAAAAGTAAATATTAATTCAGTTCGAAATCCATAAATGAAACTAATAAAAAAACTAACCTCAATAGAATACCTGATACGTAGAGACTTACAATTACGGAAGCAGCGATAGCAAATACATTGTATATATAAAAATAATGAGCATTTCCAATACCTTAAATTGAGATTTTAATTACCACATTATAAAAATCTTTATGTACAATGCTATATTTATAAGTTTTTTTCACTTTATTTTTGAAAATCTTTATTCGTAATGAAGTGCTGAAGTTTAAAAAGAATAAATTCTTGAAAATCTACAAATATAAATGAAATTTAGAAAAATAATTTCCAGACAAGCCATTATCAAAGATAAATATCGTTAATATTCTCTTCCACACATTAAATTAATTAATAAAGTTGTCGTGATAAGACTAGGATGCTAAGAGGTGCAATGGTGAAAGTTTATCTTGAGCAAGGGCATGCAAAGCAAATTTTTTAATGGCTATTAATTTTTATATAAAATCCAGTTAAGTGTTCCGAAAGATTATTAAAAAATCCCAACCCAATTTCACGAATTTCACATTCGTGGAGTTAAGAACGCATAATGTTCAAATAAATTCTAAATAAAGAATAAATGCCGAAGGAATAAACAACTCGTTATAGAATTTTACCACATTCACGGATTTTTACTTTTTATTTGTAATAATTAATATAATGTAATGATAGATAGATCACGATATATATATATATATATATATATTTGAATATGCATAATGTTCAGACCTCTTTCTTTCCTTATGGATTGCTAAATAAAGGCTCACAACACTGGCCAATAGGCTAAGCAAGTACATTAACTAACAGCAGAAAGCGCAGAAAGTATACAATACTGGAAAAATATATGGGAGAAACAGAAGATTCATAACACCAATGCAAAATACCTGCGAGATCTCAGAATAATTAGCAACTTCCCAGAGGAGGAACCAGCTAATAGCTAACATTTTTGAGTTGCTGACATCTAATAGCGACTTAAAAATATGAAAAATTGGACGGTACCGGATATGATTCATCTACTGGCTAACAGCGGCTCATAAGCGCAGATTACGATACAGATGAACCAGTTGCTTGTGGTAGCATCTCATCTTTACTGGTTAACAAAATGACCGTCCAACTATTGACTTAATAATCTGCCTATTCCAACGTGGAAAATCCTGTCAAGCACATAATCATTAAGCTTCATGATCATATGAGCCAGTATATGAGTGCAATTTAAAAAGGCATTGGAAACAACACAGGCTCCTAACATCAGCTACTTATAGATAGGGCAACCGCTCTAGACTCTAAAATCCTGGTAGACCAATCTGTATATAGCTTGGATTGAATATAGGAAAACCTATGACTCAGTGCCCCACACACGGATCTGTGAATGCCTGATTCTATACAAAAGTCAATAGACCGTAAAGACGTTTATTGAAAACTCAATGGGACTGCGAAAAACGAAAACGACATTTGAAATTAATTCGAAACAGCTTGCACTATAGCTATCAAGTGCGGCATATACCAAGGTAATGCATTGCTTTCCCTATTGTTCTACATAGGTCTAAACATCTTCATTCATATAACCACCAGAAGCGAATATGGATACAAATTAAAAACCGTCTATCCTTCCCTATATGGATGGCATCAAGTTATATGCAAAAAATGAACGAGATGACTCGCTCATCCATTTAACTTAGATTTACAGCGAGGATATTGGGATGTCACTGAAATTAGAGAAATATGGCCAAATAAAGGGAAGAAAAGTAAGATGATAAATGAGGCTGACCTGCCATCAGGACATAGAGCGGACATACTGGCTAGCTATAAGTACGTACCTTGGTATCCTATAGCCATGATGAGGAGGCAAAGAAAATTACAACATCAAATATCCAAGTATCAACAAAGGACAAGAAAAATTTTAAAGAGCCACCTCAATGGAAAAAATAAAATCCATGCCAAAAATATGCTCTACCATCCAGTAATCAGGTACGAAGCTGGCACTGTAAGGTGAACAAAGGAAGACCTAGAGGCTGCTAATGCAAAGAACAGGAAACTCCTCACAATGCATGGAAATTTCCACTCCAAATCTAATACCCAGAAGGCGAGGACACTAATGAAACTCGAAGCATTCAGAAAAATATCAGTAAGATGGCATCAAAGGAACTGCTGAGAGAATGAACGATGTACACATACTGCAAGACGATAAAACATAAGAAATACAATGGCAAAGCAATGGCCCTCCACGGGTCGCACCATCGACATAGCTGAGATAACTGATACTGTGAGATCCTAACAATGGCTGGAGAAAGCAGGATCAAGGCATTGATTACAGCACAACACAAGAGAAAGCATTAAGCACAAGATCAATCGAAACAAGGATCTGCCACAGTAGACAAGACTCTAGATGCAGATTGTGCAAAAACGCCCCAGAAACAATTCGACACATAGTGGCAGGATATAAAATGCAAGCAGGAACAATATATAATGAAAGGCATAACCAAGCAGCTGGCATCATCTATAGGAATATATACTCGATATATGACTTACTTTCTTTCCAAGACTTAATGGGATAATCTTCAGAAAATCATAGAGAATAATAAAGCAAAGATCCTGCAGAACTTCTCATTCAAAAAGACAAACAAGTACTTGTCAATCAACCAGATATCGTGGTAATACCAAGCGACAGAAACATCAAGAAGAAGGGAGATAAGTTAGAGAAACAGCAAGAGCTGAAAGAGGAACTAAAGAAGATGTAAAAAATAAAGGTTAAAATAATTCCAGTGATAACTGAATCACTTGGAATTGTGACCCCTAAGCTAGGAAAGTGGCTTCACTAGATTCCAGAAACAACATCAGAGAACTCTATCCAAAAGAGCGCATTATTACGAACAGTTAAAAATACTGCGCAGAATTCTCAATCTCATTATAAATAGCGCTATATTTTACAGAATGTATTTTAAGTGTACTTTTCTTGTGAGGATAAATAACGGGTGATTTTATCCTAATTCATCGCCATATTCGTTTTAACCTATTTCTATTGTAATATTCCTATTATTAAATATTCTATTTAACTGAGTAGTTTGCAGCTGAAATGATCATAACATTAATTATTTCAAGTTACGATATAATTTAATTTTTTATTTGTTCTACAAAAAGATTTAAAAAATAAAAACCTTCACAACTAATAATACTTTCAGCGCTGATATTCGGATTCTTATAAGTCTTATAACATTTTTCTACGTTCAGCTTCAGTGAATTAGTCACACTTTTAAAAAACCGATATGTGGCAGCCAGATAAATCTAAAAATAAATATAAAAATTACAGTAAAAAATAAAATGTAACAAAAAATCATAAAAAAAGATCGAATTATAATTTTAATGCTTCTTTTCTATTTTCGTACTGAAAATTTTTAAACTATTTAAATTAATTTTGAAATTAAAATAACCTCAGGGTAAAGATTGAAGCGCTTAAGTGTGTTAATTGTATGTCCATATTCTGTGACATTATCACTTATAACCTTCCGCAGTCCATCGATATATGATAACGAAGTTTCATCAGTTAATCTCTTGTAAAATGAATAATAAAAACCCTGAAAAAAAGAGAAAATCAGATATATGAAAGAGTTGTTTTTCTTCTTCTGACATCTTCTGACTGAGCTTTCACCATTATTTGTTAAGCTGGCTCCGCTGGCTACAAGGGTAAGATGTCTCCACGCTGCTCGGTTCTACGCCATCGCTAATAATAATAGAAACCATCCTTTTTTTCCATCGTCTAAGTCCATATATCGCTGGTACCCCATCACAGGGTGGTCCGGCAAATAACAAAATATGCGTCAACTTCTATGGTGGACGACGGAGAACATGCCCTAACCAGCGAAGGTGATAACATTATCAATACAGGTAGTATTTGAACGAAGATGGATACAATAATATGCGGTTTTATCAGCTCGATGGATCTATAAAATATATTTTAGACAAGAGTGGTCAAAGGTTGATAGCTTCTTAATATCTTCACTCTCACTGGCAATATTTCGCAGTCATATAGCAAGATCGAGCCAACTGCAGCTATATGGACGCAGATTTTCGTCTTCATGGTGATTTGGCGACGGTTCCATAGAAGTTTCATCAACCAATCGGATATTCCAACCAGATTAACTATATTTGAAAGAATTATCTAAAATATTAGAAAATAATTTCTTTTTGTTCATTCATTTTCGTTTCGTTTAATGTTAATTCGATTTAAAAAAAAAATTAATGAAACGAGATGACCCAATTCGCAAAAAAAGGAACAATGAAATGACGGTTCAATAAGTGGCAAATGAAAAAAATGTTTTTTCTAGAAATCTGTCCATAGCTCCCACTTAAATTCAACCTTCAAAATATTTTACGGCACAATGAAAAAGGATTAAAATTAGATGATGGCAACAGCAGTTCAAACCACTATGCTGAGAGGCAAGGAATTGTTTGCTGTCCTTGAAAGGAATGATCCACTCGATCTGAAGTTGACGACCCATCTGTATTTCCATCGCTAAACTCCCCTAGCAAAAATTATCCATATTAAGCAATCCGGCTAGATCAAAGAAACAAAAGAAATGGTGAGCACTAAAGGCCCGAACGTTACCTAAGGTAAAGATCAAATAATCCATTGTCATTATGAAATTTCCAATGAAAGATTAAAAAACTGCTAAATTATCTTTTTCGCAAATAAAATTTCGACATTTTTCATACACGAATCATAAAATCATAAATGAAATGTGCGCGTGGAAAAAACTGGAAATATTTATTGGTTGCGATACGACACTGATGATGAACGACGGACGGTATAGGAGATGGTATGGCTGGTTGTAGCGTTTTGTGCTGTTGTCGTGATGACGAATGTCGCCCATTTCCTGTTACTCCATTTCCTCTTCATCGTCACCTTGTCTTATTATCGTCGGTCGTTCCCATTCATTCTTCCAACAACTCACTCATCCTATCTTCATGTCGTTCAAATTTCATCGACTTCCAATTTATGATAAACTCATTTTTTTTCTTTTCTTTACATCGAAATAAATTTTTTTTTGGGTCTAATCCTAAAATTTTTTTTTCATTTCTACTGGAATTTTTATTTAAAAATTTTGTAATCGACCAACAGATATATTTTCATCAGTAAACCAAACAAAACAATCATTTTTTTTATTTATTTCTCACTAAATTTTGTATCAATCATTCAGTTCGCCTTTATCATTTTTATCAATACTATAATTAATATTACTATTATGAATATGATCACCATAACATTAAAAATAATTCAAAATTTAAAGACGATTTCCAACGTTCATTACTCTAAAATTTCAAATACACTTACTTAATCTAGTTGAATTCGTTCCTATGAAATATTTGCTAATAATTTTCAAAAATTCAAATAAATTATTCGATGAAAGAAATAAAATGAAAGAAATCAATAAAAATTATTTGTCCTTTTTCCGCAGAACTTCGAAAAAAATTCTTGCAAATTTTCCGACTAAAAAAATAATTAGTAGCCTTATAAGAAAAATATATCATTTTTGGCTAAGCTCGCTCTACTGGCTGTTAGTATGGTTGGAAATTTTGCCAAGCAATCATTTGGGGACAGAATTACAAGTAGTGAGCGCCCAGAACCACTCAGAAGCCATATAAAATCTGAATTACAATTCCGACAAATTTCTTTGAACATTTGACTGAACATTTTTTGCTATTTAACTTTGAAAAAAACGATCAAATCGAATAAAATGCCAAAAAAACAACTAATTAACTAACCATTTCAGTTCGATAGGACATTTCTCTTTCAAAATCGGTCAAATGAGAAAAATGACGATCATTTTCAAATAAATAATTTAAGTGAATATTATAAGCTATTGCAAACGATAAACCTGAAAGTAGTACCATAGCGTAACATTCAATAAATTTTTATTCAGGAATAAATAATTTTGTAAAATATTACAAATATTACAATATCGACACTTCAGTAATGATTCTATGTGAATACTGAACGCTCTTTTTCATCACTTCTTTCTATTTTCCTTTCTATTATTAAAGGTTTTGAGAAAAATTAGTTTAAAAGTTATAAAAAGTTTAAAAATGGGAAAAAACATTAGTTCCGAAAAAAAATAAATAAAAATATAGATAAATTCCTAAAAATAATTAGTAATTAATTATATCATTGAATAATTTTTATGTTCATAACAACAAACTGAATTATCTAAAAAAAATTATTTCAGAATCACACAGCTTTATGGGTATCGACAATCTTTGCATTCGTACCATTTCTGCTATCTTTTCCACATTTATCATAGGTATATCTAACTTATTAATTAAATTATTAATCGAATGCAGGTTGGCCAGGTGGTTGGTGGTACACTTCCCATGTTGTGGGTTAATTCCAGCTGCTCCCTCTGACATCTTTCAAAAAAAATTTCACCAAAAAACTAAAATTAACGAATAATAACGATTTTAAAGATTTGGAACTTTCTGATCAAAGAAAATAAATTTTTTTCAGTCGGTGTAAATTTTTTACAAATTCCTTTCGGTGATCTACGAAATATAGAAATCTATACGAATGACGATGACATTCCCTTAATCTATTTATTGGAGAATTTAACAACTAATGAAGATGAAATTTTATTAAATAATGTTGAAAGGCGAGATTATGCGAAAATTATTGAAATAATTGAACAAAAAAAAACTCAGGCACGTAATATTTATAAGTCACATCTTTAATATAATATTTTAATAAAATATAATAATATTTTCAATAAATTAAATATTTTAAGAAGGGGCGGTATAGTCGAGTGGATACAAATTGTCGTGCTGGCAAGAGCCCAAGTATATCCCCCGGAAAAGTAAATCTATCATTGTTGTACTTCTACTGCTAAATTTAGCAAAAAATTTCTAACTGTCCTAACGGCCAGCTGAGCGCACTTAGCCAAAATTAGTAGCCCTATTTATTTTTATCTTTTTTATCACATTTTTCATCACTTTAGTCTTATCAAATGCATGCTTTCCGCAGAAATTTTAGTAGAAAAGAACCTGAAAAATCCTAACGAAAAAAAATTTTTCAGTTGGCAAATATTTTATCCGATGTAAACAATGATTTTAACGAAAAATATATAAGAACTCATAATTTAACGACAAAAAAGCTACAAATTCTTCAAGCTTATCAAGTAGGTTTTTTCTCATTTTCTATTAATTAGTTAACCAAAAAATGAATGAAAAAATTTGGCAAAACAAATGCAAAAAATTCGAAATTTTTAAAAAATTTATTTTTCATAAAAGAAATTATTTTTTCGAAAGTGACAATTTGCGCTTTTAGTTTAGCACTGACTGACAGGCAAAGAATTAATTTTAAAAATTCGATAATAATGGAAATATTCAACAAAAAAAATTGGTAGAAAATATAATAATATAAATTTTAAAAAATGACGAAAATTTCTAGCTCAATTTTTTGCAGAATGCTTCAATTTATAAGATAATTCGAGCGATTTGGAATGCGAATATCGAAGATTTGCTACCTCAAGTTGATCAAGTAGCAATTATGGAATATTATAACGAGAAAACTATAGAAGAAAATGAAGATGAAAATTTTTTTAGCAAATTATGGAATCTAATTAAACGACTTTTCGGGTTATTTTTTTCATCAAGGAAAATATCAGTCAATTCACTCTTCTTATCACATCTATGAACCAGTCTTAATTTCTTTTCTAAAAGTTTTTCTGGTTTGGTCGATTCCACTACTATTTGAGGTTATTGCAAAGTCACCACTGAATGAATATAGATGGATCTTCAGCAGCGTCCTCTTTAATAATTTCTATTTTTAGAGTAACTAAAGAAGAATATCAGTGTTATGCGAATGAACCACGATGTATACGTCTTGCAGTAAACGATTTAAGCAAAAGAGAAAGAATACTGTTGGATGAATTTTTTAAAAACGATAATCTTACGGAGATTGTGAAGTTTATCGAAAATAAACTAAGCCATAATCCTGAAACATTAAGAGAATTTTATCAGTGGCAAGCGAAAAATGTCGTACCCGAAGCGTTAAAAGAAATTATTACAAGCCTAACGCAAGCGCAAAAGAGGTAAATATTATAAACATAATAAATATCGTGAATGTTGCTAAATATAATCGGAAATCCTTTAAACTCAAACAGTAAACTTTGAGAGCAATCGAAAAATTGAGACGACGGGATCTGCGAACGAAAATTAAGGATTATTATCGAGGAAGGATTGAAAGGATGAATTCCTCAAAACAACAGGTATTTTTACACTAATCCAGCACATAAATAAAAGAATTACTTGTGGCCACTCCCCTCTTCTAACAGCGCACATTATTACTAGTTAGATTACCACTGGTTACGAAAGTAGCTCAAATTACGGTCAGAGAGAATAAGAGCGGCAAGACAACTCAGTGGTCGGGTTTAAACGTAAGATTCGGATTTCATTTCTAACACAATGAACCTATAACCCATAGCAAGCCCGACACTGGTGGCCCATCTGTACTTTTTGAGCAAATGACTCCCCGGCAAATATCTCATTATATTAACAGTTAGATTAGTGGCTCGAGTCTAAACGAGAAACAATGATCTACAACCACTTTTACATTGAGGAATTTCATTGAAAAAAATTACTCGATTGATAAAATATTACTGTCTCTTTTATCTCTTTTATTTTCTCATTCAACAACCATTCAATTTCATTTAAGGAAATTGAGAAATTTATCCAACGAATGAATAAAACATTTGCGAGATGCTTCAATCCAAAACGTATAACATATAAATCGAAAAGATCGAAAACTGTTGGCATTAGAAATCAGTCAATATAATTTGAAAATTTCCAACAAATTAAGTATCATTTTACAAGAAGCCATTAAAAAATTTTCTGATAAAATAAATTTTTAAAGTGAAGTTTTAAAAAAAAAAATTGCAGGCAAAAAATATATAAAATTATCAGTTTATCATCTCTGATGGATCCACTTTGTATGAATAAAATTTAACCAACGATGCAGCGACTGGATTGATTAAAGAAAAAACTAATGCTCCTTTATAATTAATTAATCGGATTAAATAATTTAAATAATTAATTTATTAAATTGTTTTTTTATGCAAATAGATATTTAAATCTTATTTAATAAGAACTCGAACAATCAACAAAATTTCGTTTTTTGCTTGTAATCAATAAAAAACAAGTTTTTCTTTAAAAATTTTAAATACCGAATGATAATTTTTGCAAAAAAGTAGTTCTTTTTTTATCAATTAAAAAATTGTAAAAAAAATTAAATTAAAAAATCAAGAATTAAAGAATTAAAAAATTATAAAAAATACAAAAAATATCGCATAAAATATTTTTTTACGAATATTCACAACAACTGAGATCCTTTTTTGCAGAAAAAACTTTCAAGCCTTAAAGCTCAAAACTTTCCAAAAAAATTTCTCTAAAATTTAAAAGTACTACTGCTTCTAAAAAATTTTAATTATTTAATTATTACTTCTAACATCATTCATGAAACAACTAAAGCGGTATGTTTCGATTTGGAATGAATTTTTTTTGCATAGCCTGCAAAAGATTTTGAATAGTTGGTACCATAAAAAATTTCGATTAGTAACAACACCTTAAGCACTTTCTGCGTGCCCCAATTGACCTCAGCTGAAAAGAAAACATACCGATTATACGATACATATCTTAATAAAAACAAATACTTATTGACAAAGCATGCCGCGTGTGCGATCCCTAATTCAAAGGAATATCTCGGGTGCCTTAATTAAAAAGAATAGTTGTCTGTTGTCCGAAATATCGGACATTTTAATTCGAAACTATACTTGTGGGATAGCCGAGATTAAATTAAAAAGCAATTGCTGCTCATCCGCTACTATTCCTTACTATCATTTTCTTTCATATGACAAAATAAGCGTGGCGTTCTCTTTTTAAATATTTTCCTTCATCTTTCCTTAATAAAAATAACAGTTACAAATAAATACGACCAACGATTGTGGTGCCATTTAACAAACGCTAAGAAATATTTATAATATTTTCTACGATAAACCACAAAAATTCATTATGAATCTATTTCTGCCGCTGACTTTCAGCAAAAATTTTAATTCGCTATAAGAATTCGGTGCGTGGAAATAAGAAAAACGCAAAAATCATATAAATAAGCAAAAAAATCAAAATTTACCTAAAAGGGTAATAAAAATCGATCGCCAAATCGTAAATGTTGTACCACTTTTGAGTATTTCAATGCTTTTGTTCGATGTTTTCGATGGTGAATCTCCGATTTCAGTTTTTTCGAATTTCCGACGAATTTTCGCTTTCGCTAACTTACTGAATTTATTTTTCGCCATCGATTCCTAAAAAAAACCTTCAAATGATTTCGTTTTAAAAAAATTCCTTTTGGAAAATTTAAAAAATTCCAAAAATTCTGAAAAACATAGTTTTAATAAATTTTAGGAAAAAATTGAAGATTTTCTTCGATAACTATGATAATAAATATTACTTATAAACGAAGAGTTTTCGCACAACTTTTCGCAAATAAGAAGAGAAAAAAAGTATCGGGCGAGTGGAGGCTCAACGGGTTATTGCTTTCGTCGCCAGTTTCTCAACTAAACGTGACCTTCAAAAACCTGATGACTGACCACTCACCCGATACTTCTATCGTCACACTTTCTAGCAAATTTTTCTAATCCAATAAACCAACTGAGCGAAATAGTTCTTAGTGTTCTTAGAAAGAAAACACAACGAAAGATACTTCACCCAAAATTATTTCAATAGTTTTAAGCAAGTCCGAGGTCAGAGGTTAATATCAGTGAAACACAAAAACACCAGTTTATACTTTACGCACCCCACTCGCTAAACATAAAATCAATCCATGCAGAAAATTCGGCCAAATTCACAAAGGATGCTTCATTTCACGGCCCACGGTTTCTTGCGGCCAAAGTTATTTACCGCTGGCGAATAAATCCTAAAGCAACAAAGAACGAAAAGAACACTTCAACGAAATTTCGGCTATTTTTATTGAGGTATTGAGATATAAGAAGAAGTCTTTATTTCTGATAAATTGAAAAAAGGCCAAATTTCGGACCTGGCAGTTGACGGGCCGAATTTTAAAGACAACAGCTGCCACGGCCACAGTTTAACTATTAAATTGATGAATAACTAAATTTTAATTGCCTTTTTCTTCTGATTTTTTTGTTTTATCAAAATTTTTCATGGCAGCTTTATTGTTTCGTCGGATATTTTTTCGGGTTGGATTGGCTAATTTATTCACAAAAGGTCAGGGAAGAGGTTAAACTCAAAAACAATTTTATTTGGACGTATTTACTTAGAGCGAAATTTACTGGGAATTTAAACAAAAGAGAACTGTTCTTTTGCTTTGGATTCAGTTTTACTTATAGATATTGTCGTTTGGTGACTGATAAGCGTTGATAACCATTGATGATTAGTGATTCTGAGACAGCTTCTGAGTCAGTTTTCCCATTCTAGAAGTTTCACTGCCAATTATTATATTTAAGCACAAAATCATATATGGCTTACTTATTTATAACTAATGGTTTAGCAGCGAATGGCTTAGCGTGTAAATCTGAGCATTATATGTTCGCTATGATTGTAAAAATATGTAGGGGAAAGAGATGAATGCGCTGGTGTACCAAAATTATAATTGATCTTTCAAAAGTAAATAAGAAAATTGAAAGTTCTTGTTTCAAATGAAAGTTCTTATTGAAAGTTTACATAATAATCTGTTCGAGGATCGAAACTATGGCAGTCCAATCAGATCAAAAAACAGGTGCAATATTGGCCGCTAATTATTCGTTGTTGGTGAAACTTATTCGTAATTTATAATTTTATCCAAAATTTTTTTAATTTTTTGTTGTTGAATTAAATTTTTTTTAGTGTTCAGATAAAGTGGATATATTGCCACAATCTATTTTACCTGTTAAAATATTAATATATAATTTCGATTTCAACTAGCAAAAAAAATAAGATGTCGGCTTCACATGGTCCACGCGATTATGATCACCTTTTCAAGTTATTGATTATTGGTGATAGCGGTTTCGTTTTTTTTCTGATTTTCTTGATGTTAAAAATTTATTTTATTTTAAATGTTTGTTATTTCCCTTCATTAAAAAAGTTTTTTATTATTTATTATCACATAAAAATATATTCCAAACGTACAATTTTTTTATTTTGGAAATTGAATTCGTGTGACCACATTATCTTCAAAAATTTAAATCATTTTTTATTATTGGTGATAAAGTGTTAAACTTCCCTTTAATTTAATTAATGTATAAGAATTATTAATAAAATGTAAGATTGATATTTGGTTAATTATTAATAAAATATAAGAATGGTAGTTAAATTTGTTTAAAAACTTTCATTTATTTTAGTTCAAAATTTTATTTAAATTTTTTTATGTTCATTTTTTATTCATAAACTTTGTTTTTTTTTGTTAATCTGTTAGGTTTTTGTTTGTTCATTTTTCTTTTTTATTATTTATTATAAATAAATTTAAAATAAAATTTATTATAAATAAATTTTTTTGTGCCGATTATTGAATTTTAGGAGTGGGCAAAAGTAGTCTTTTACTCAGATTTGCTGATAATACTTTTTCGCGTAAGTTTACTCTTTTTCGTGGCTTTATTCAGCTTTGTTTCACTTCGATATTTCAAATGTAAAATATTGTTATTTCAGCAAATTATATTACAACTATTGGTGTAGATTTTAAAATTAGAACAGTTAATGTAAATGGACAACGAGTTAAATTGCAAATTTGGGATACCGCTGGACAAGAACGATTTCGTACTATAACATCAACGTTAGTTTTATTATGTCTGAGTTCTAAATTCTTTTTCAAAAATAAATGTTCCATAGGGATAATAATGATTATTAGTGCCGCATTATTAGTTCTCTAATATATTAAAAATAATAAAATATGAGTCATCCATTTATTATATCGAAATTTATTGATTTAAAACTTGAAAATTAATAGTTTTGAAAGCAACAATGCTTAATTTGGACTTGCAGATATTATCGTGGTACACATGGTGTTATTGTCGTTTACGAGGTTACAAGTGGAGATTCATTCAGTAACGTAAAGCGGTGGCTGCATGAAATTGATACTAATTGCGAAAATGTAAAGAAAGTTCTTGGTTTGTATTCTTTAAATATTTTCGATCATAAAATAATAAATATGGTATTAAATTTAATTCAAGGAATAATATTATCAGTTAAAGTAAGGGATAGAATGGCTCAATTGTTCAATTTAGAGGGCTGAGGAATAAACCTGTGCAAAAATCCGGGTGATGCCGGCGACTCACTTGCGCTTTTATAGCCAAGGGACTCCTTGGGATATTTGTCCAGTGCGACAAGCCAGCGGAGCAAATTTAACTAGTTATGGTGCGAAAATTATCAATTAAAGTGATGAAAATGGTTATAATTGAGTATATTTCTCCGTGTTTTCTTTGGTTTTAATATTTTGGATCTACATATTTAATTTGTATTAAAACTCTCCTTAATTTTGAAATATTTTAGTTTGTTTTGAATATATTCAATGTTTTTCTTGTTAAATATAATTCTTAGTGGGGAATAAAGCAGATGATCCCGATCGGCGGGTTGTGCTCGAAGCAGATGCACATCGTTTCGCTGACACAATGAAAATACCATTCTTTGAGACTTCTGCCAAGGAAAATATCAATGTTGAAGAAGTAAATTTCAATATGGCAAATTATTTTCTTTTTTTTCATAACTTTTTTTCATAATTTTACTTTTCACTATTAATGCTACAAATGAATAAATTGTGTCTCACTTTATGCGAATTCAAAGCCAGAAAAATGCAAAAAAATAAAATAAAATCACATTTTTTCTATAGAGATTTTTTTGGACATTTTAAATATTTATTGTTTAAATATTTATTTTCATATCATTTATTATTTATTAATTAATTTATAAAATAAATAAAAGGTAAATAATCAATAAATAATAAAAGTTAATTTAGTTAATTTACAAAAAAATGAAAAGTTCATTTTTTTATTTTTAGATGTTCAATTGTATAACCAGTCTAGTATTGGAAGCAAAACTTCAGTCTCCACCACAAAATCTGGTGGATCGAGGTGTTCGGCTAGGTGATTATGGCGTTAAACGAGAAGAGAAGAGAAAGTGCTGTTAATATTCGCTTTTCTTTAATAACTTCAGCTTCAGATACTATAGTCTTCTTTCTGCGTTTGTAATGAAATCAGTTTCATTATCAGCTCATAAAATGAACATATGATTCTCCTTTATCAGTCGGTACTATATCTATGGTTTCAATATTATTACTTCTTCAGTGGAAATCAATTTTGGATCTTTTTTTATACTTCTTCGACAAAGCTGTTCTCAATTAATTTGGTTATGTTGCAATTTTTATTTTTTTAAAAAGTTTAAGTAAAATCTTAGCAAATCAATGAATTTTCATTTTTTTTGAAAAAATTCGATTGTTTAGTTTAAATTTAATATCTTTCAGCGAAAACGCAGTGCATTTTCATTTAATTAGATCGTCTGTGTACTTTGGTGGGGTTTGTTACAGAAATTTTTCATTTTTTATTCAAGAAACATTTCTATTTCCCAGTATAATTTTTCATTATGCAAAATTTTTCTTTCCTTTGTTTTCGATTTGCATCTTTACAGATTAAGGAAGAATTTTGTTGAATTTTTTTAGAGTGCCAAGAAAGAAATTTTGTCTTCAATTTGATGCTGTACTCATTTTTTTCTCGTTTCATTCCCTTTTTTTCTTTAAAATTTCCTTCACAAGTTGTTCCATTTAACTTTCTCTTAAATTGTCTAGGTGGAAGATTTGATAAAGAAATTTATTTTTTTATTGATTGCGCCAGTTATATTTCTTTCGATATTTCGATCATCATCATAATAATATTTATTTTCTATATTTTCACATATTTTCTAGGTGAAATTATTGAAATATTTTCCGAATTAATTTTTTTTTAAGCTCGCTAGATTTCACAGTTTTGGAAAATATTCGATGAATATCTTTTTTTTTAATCCAGCTTCGCAAGAAAATAAGGCTATTTTTATACTATCATTTTTTAAATATATTTTTATTTCTTTTATTCTGTGAATTTTTCGATTTTTTCTTTGAGGAATGTTGTGAGAACTTTTTGAATTTAAATTTTGAATTTTTTGGTCAGTGTTAACGTGAAAATTATAATATTATAATATTCATATTGCGCCTTTTCTGTTACTATTCTTTCTTCTTTAAAGACTTTTTTGCTAAAAGTCTTTGTTAGATAATGGAAAATTTTTTGAATATTTCTATGCATATTTTCCACAATCTTTTTGAAATTTTTATTTAATATTTAATTCGATTATGAATTGTGTACGATATTATTTATTGTATTGTAAGTGTATTGAGTAAGCTTTGATTTTGGCAAAGTTTAATTATATAATTAATATGCAAATAAAATGTATTTCTTATGAATTAACGTTGGCATAGTGGAATTCATCATTATTTCCAGGTTTAGGATAAGTAATTCATAGAAAAGTTCGCATCACAATTTTGGCCATCCGTTTTAGCCATCCGTATAAATATTTTTGTTATCTTAAACTACATATTGAAACTATAATTTAAATTTGAATTTGAATGAAAACTCTTATTTTTAAAAATTCATTCATGATTATTAGATTCGATTATTAGAAACTTATTTAAATTTAATATTTCGTTTTTATATTTTTTCATTTGATGTACAAAATTATTTGCCAGAATTATTTGATTAATTATGAGGAAAGTTTGGTTAATTTTAATCTGATGCATTCTTATTAGCTGTGTTAGGTTTATTTCAGACGATTTTCTAGAATTTCCTAGAATAATTGCTGGATGCATTTGCAGTCTTTCAATTTTGATCCAATTTTACAGTGATATCGAGTTTTAGAGGTTTTATTCATGCAATTTACATAGTCTTTAGTTGATAGGATAGATAATTTTTTATGTTACAATTATCAGAAAACAACGAGAAACAACATGCTACAATAATATTTTTAAAGAAATATAAAAAATTCAGTCGAAAATAAAACGGAAGGACGGCTGACTGACTGGTTGGTTTTTTTGGTTTTTAATTTTTTTGCAATAATTCGAATATTTGTTAACTGCATTTGCTTAAAATTTATCCATTATTTTTACACCATTTTTCTTTGCGTGTTGTGTCTCGAATTATTTCCAAATCGCGTATATATATTATCTAAAAAATTTTAAAAATTTAATTTTTCTTGTAAATTTTAGTGTTTAATATTTGAATAGAAATATAAATAAAAGTGAGGGAATAGGATAACCGAGTGGGCAGTGATTTACATTGTCGTGTCAAGAGGCAAGGGTGTACCTCACTCAAAAAGAGTAAATCTGTCTTTAAAACCCAGTGGTGGTGACGATTCACCCGTATGCTAGAGCTAGGTTAACCAGAAGTGCTGAGGGCTAACCACGTGCGTTGCTTAAATAAACAACAATATACTTTAAAATATAAATGAGTGTTTTAATTTTATTTACTGGATATAAATAAGATATTAATGTTTCTTATCTTTCTTATCTTGTTGAGTGTTACTATTTTTGTCTCATTCGCACTTTCCCAGTGTGATTACCATCTGATATTTTACATAATAGGTAATTACTTATTTCTAATATCTAATTTCACGACAGAATGCCTCAATTAGTTAATTTGTTGTTTATCAAAATTAAATGATACAGTTGGTGCAACGATTTGCAGCTATCTGACTGACCTGTGATTCCAAGGAAGCGGCATTCTGATGAACAGTGCTCGCTATCCTTTGTTCAAGTTGTACGATAGGTTCGTTTTCTGCATTATCTTCCACTGTCTCCTTCAATACTTTTATTATAGGTAAAATAATAATTCCTTAATAAAAAATATTATCAAAAAACTGTGGGTTCTTGGTACTTCTCTGTATTTCACTCTTAAGGCGAAAGAGCTTAATCAGACGACGATTTTTGTGAAAAAAAAGAAAATCACAGTCATAAATTTAGTAACTTAGTTTATTTAGTAATTTAGAAACCTCAGCTTCCACTTGTTTAATTGCATTTGGCAATTCGTCTTCATCTTGAAATGGATCTTCGGTGGCTAACGGAGATAGTGCGGTAGTAGCAATTTCCTTCAATGTATTCTTTATTGTTTGTTTCGTTGTCGCTTCCGTCGCTGCGATTTCTTTGTTCTCATTAGATTTCTTTTGTTCTTCGCTGTAAACTTCCATTGTCTAAAATATATTGTAGAATTAAAAAAGGTTTATTTACCCCAAAGGCATTTGATTGAATTTTCAATGCTTTAAATTACTTTTTGGAAATGTTTCTTTAAGCCTTCGTTATTAACAATAGCGACATCTTGTGTGTTCAGCTGAAAATCTATTCCACCAACCGGAAAGTTAATTACCCTTGGCTGTCCATTCGATGTGCGCCTACAAACGAAGATCAAAGATATTTGTCAAATAATAGAGAATTTTCACGAGGTTACTACCAGTTATATTTATATCTGTTCACTCTGGAGAGGCACGATAGCAGAGTGGGGGTTGGTTCAGGTTAGTTCGTTGAAAGGCAAGAGCTTATTTCATTTGCATTCTGCATATTTTGAACTCCTCGTGATAGTGAATTGAATTTTATTTTAGAAAACTCGAACAAATGAAAAATGAACCCATTGGTAACGATTGGTCGAATATGACTCAAAGTATCTTCACTAGTAGTAATTTTTGTTGGAATTATCGGCAAAGCGTCTAATTTTCCTGAAGTTGGCTTTTGCGTAAATTCTCGACTCGCACTCGCCGATACACGTTGATCGATGGATAAACGACGTCGAGGAGGCACTAATAAATTTGAATTCAATTTTTAGAATATCACAAATTTATTTTCTAGGAAAGGGTTTTTTTATAGACCAGTGATTGCAGTGGAGGTAATTTATTCATTTTCTCATAGAATCTGCAACGTTGAATGCACACCGAGCTGACTTTTTTTTATGAACGGATTCGCTTCCAAATCACGCATGAGAAAGCTCAGGAATAGTTGATCAATTTACTATAAATTTTGTTGGATCGTATAATAAGAAAGGAATAAGAAAGAAATTCATTCGTTTCATTTTAAACAGTTTTCTAACAAGAAATTATTTTAATTTACATTTTTTAATTCATTAAAAGTAATTAAAGATAGGATGGTCGAATCGTACAAATTAAGCCTCGTTAGAAGTTGGTTAGCCTTCGCTCATTCCTTGTCTGAAGTAGCCTTGTCATTAAAAATGGAATTTAAGTGGTGCTGGCATCGCACTTATATTCAAGTAATTCTCTTATCGCAGCATTAAGCAGTCAGTAAGTCAGTAAGATTGGCCAAATAAAGCAATGGTGAGTGCTATAAGAAGAATTGAAGTAAATCGCGTACACTTTTTTTCAACTTTGGAAGATCCAAAGGTGACAAGTGGTGACACTGTTGTTGTATATCCAAAATCACTATCAGCATAATCATCATCTTCATCGTTATTTGAAAACGAATTCATATCGATCGGAAAGACATCCTGAAATCAATCTTAATATAATGGAAGCATTTGAATAAGTGCGCAGTCCTTTATAATTTATAATTTTTTATCCATTTCCTGCATTTTTGATTTTTTCGATTAAAATCGTATCTTTGACATAAATTATTATAGGCTTCTATAAATTTATCAATTTATTAAAAACTCTTGCGTCCACATAATTCTTCAATTTTGTTGTAGTAAGTTGTTGTAGATAAGCATTTTTATAAAACAGGTTTATTATTTATTCGATTCGTTGCTGATAATATGCACTACTTCTTACCTGTTTTGTGATAACATCTTCTATTGTTGCTTCTCTTGTTCTTCGACATTTGGGTGGCTGAAATTAGGTTTCATATTGTAAAACATTTATAGAGAACTTTTCGGAACCAAATTCCAGTGAAATCTTACCAATATACCATCACATTCGCCAAGAAGACGGTCACAGAATCGCAAATGGCATTTTAACTGCACAAGTGTACTGCCTGGAAATTTTACAGCTCTTCCAACTGCGGAAACCATCAATGGTTCTTGGTAGTCTGGTTGATCGATAACTGATGTATCAACAACGCATCTTTAATGCAGTAATCTAGCAATTAATTTTTTTTTTCTAAGAGCGGTCATCCTTGCTGGTTAGGTTCGCTCTGGTTTGTCTGACTTGATTAATTTTTGCCAGGAAGTCACTTGGCGATAGAAATACAGGTGAGTCGCCAGCATCACCCCGATTTTTGAAGAGCAGATTTGCCCTTTTCGGATAAAGCACCTCAGTATCGGCACTCGAAACTGAGCAAAAACCCTTTGAGCCATTCTACTTATTTTTATTTTCTCTGCCGGATGCATTGAAGCATTGTGTGTCGACGAAACTCGAGCGAGAACGCGATTCTCGGTGACCGACACACCAAATCATTATTTGGTTCTTTTTAAGCAGTTATATCTTAATATATCCCAATATGATTGAGAGATATAAATATGCCTTAGAAAAAGAACTTATAACCAGTGGAACCAAACTTAATGAAGCATACTATTAAAATAAGATAGTAATGCATATTAGTTCATATTAGTTATATTTATATTAGTTCGTGCTTTTGGTCTATTAAAATTAAAAATAAATTAAATTTATATCGGAGAAAGTAGCCCCGTTTAAGATTTTATATTAAACTAACCCATTCTTATCAATAATCGTTCGATTCAAGGCACTGTTAATATCTGTTAAGATGCAGCTATGCACTAACATTGACTGGTATGTATCCAAAACTTCTAAAATTTACTAATATTTATTGGTAGTAATGATTTATTTCAAACCAAAACGAAAATTACTGGTTTATAAAGTCCATCATTTTCATTTCTTTTTATTTATCATAGATACTCGTAATTTATAATTTATTATGGAACTTTAAGAGTAAGCAGTTTTTCTGAAAAATACTCATATAGGAAAGAGAGACACTATTACGCTTAGAAAAATAAGTAACAGGTAAAAGGCCAATATAGAAACAGAAGGCATCCAGTAAATATAAATAACCCCATAACCTCGGGCACATTCCCATAGATGAATTATTTCATCTCCAACTCTTGCATCCTCCAATTTGCATTGTTCTGTCGTGCGTGTAGTTATTTTGTAATTGCAAGGCATTTTCATTGGTTGACTTTTAAATTATTAGATTTACAAAAAAATAAAATAAAAGAAAATAAAAAAATTTACAAATTTGTTATTATTTGTTTGAATTATGGAGAAAGTGTGGTGATTTGTTTCTTAATAAAGAACCGGTCGGTCAAAATTTATTGAATTGAGAAGATTTATTGTTATTCTGGAAGAATACTGAAAGCGGCATACCTATCACTAATAGCAATATGATTGCGAAGGAATTTTTTCGGTAATTTCGGAGATTTCTCTGGATAGAAGCACTGAACGCTAAACAATTTATCTTTCTTAGTGTTGTACCAGGGATGAAATTTTAGTATGAGGCCAGTCTCAAACATTATTCCTTTTGGATTTAACTGAAATATAATAATAATAATAACAGTGTTGATAATAATTGCTGACGCGATATAAATAAGTATACCATAAATTGTTTTTGTATGTTGCAGGAATTAAGACCAATAGTCAGACGTATTTCTCTGGAAGAATTTCGAGCATTAACCACGCATTCAGGTCGATTAAATTGTCCGACAACATACATATGACCGTAGAAGGGGTTAACTGTGGAAACACCTATTTCTATCGAGTCACTTTTGCATGTGATCTCAGCACCATGTGGTCCTAAATTTTTTCAGAATATTGTTCATTTCTCCTCATAAAATCTACCATGGAATAAGAATAAAATTATTCTGAACAAAGTTAGTTTCATTAATATTACGAGTATTGTAAAATAGAGCACTATGATAACTTGGATTCATAACAATTTTTAATTTAAAAATTGATCAAAGTTAAAGGAAAAATAAAATTTTATACCTCTTGAAAAGTCGCAGTGTTCACCAACAGCGATTTTCTTGAATTGGTTTGCGAATTTATCGAGCGATAGTTGTGAATTAAGATTCTGGAAAGCTAGGTTTTCATCGCCAGTTATATCCAGTAATTCACCCATATTTATATGTGCTCCAATTCCTAATGCGAGAATCTGAACTCCTGAAAATTTGCCCATTCAATAATGCATAATTTTCTTTCATTCATTCATTTGTTATTGTGCAGTACAGTATAATTCGACCTGCTTGACGCAAGCGAACGGCCGCTGGCACTGGGTCATCATGTGAATGTCCATCTGTAACAACCACTGCTACCTAAAATTAATGTTTTCTTGATCCAGTGTAATCTAGGCTTTCCAGAGGGTCAGATATAATTTCGTATTCAATCGACAAGCAGCAATAAAAAAAATAAAAGTATTTCCCACCTTTTTTCGCTCCTTGTCACTTATCTTTGATAAATTTCTAAATATTTTGCATATTTTAATGCTAAATTCATACGCAACCTGTGCAACATCCTCCTGATTAACTCGTGAGCCATAAATTTCATTATGTTTGAAAACTTGAAGAGCTTTATCTAGAGCCTTGCCAGTTTTAGTTGTTCCTGATATGTGACGAATTTTTTGGATGGCTGTTCGCAATTCAACTTCATCCTTTAAAATGTTTTCATTTATGAATTCGTCAAGATGTGCTTTAAAATAAAAAATGAGGAAAGTGAATGGAGGTAAATGATACAGTGCCATCATCTGCAAAAAAGAGAAAAATTGTCAAAAATTTCCATTTTATCTATTTTATATACATTGTTTGTTGGTCATAGCTATTTTATTTCTAGTAAAATGAAGGAATTTTATAATTGTGCCACAAATTTGTTGAAGAAACTAACACGATACACATTGAAACCGAATTCAATTCGTGTGTATGAAGAGTATTGCATTACAGCGATCTGTGTCTTTTCTGGGCCAATTTCAACCATATCAACAATTCTGACAGATAAAATGTCAATTATTTCTATTAATTTTATTCTTCGCAATCTGTTTTAGAGAATTTCGATAACCTCACAAATATATTCAGAAAAAACTTTTCAACAATCTTTTTTTATTTTTCCTTTATTCCAAATTCTTACAAAACTTCATGAAAACTTTTGTCAGTGATGTTATCGAAATTGCACAATCTTTTGTATACAAAGGGCCATAATTTATTCTAATTTCATATTCAGTCGACGAGAAGCAACGAAAAAATAAAATATTCCGCACTTTTTTATCAGTTTTTATTTATTTGCATTTGGCTATTAGGACAAAATATTAGTAATCATAATCGCCGCGGGAGTAAACCTGTCCGAGAGTCCGAGTGACGCTGGCAACTCACCTGTATTTCTATCACCACCAATGGTTTAAAAAATATTTGTGCTGAATAGCAACTTGGTGGAATAATATTACTTTTTTATAACGCAACAGCTATGGCCGCGCGATGGAGTCAAGAAAATTCAATGAAATTAAATTCGCCAACCACTGAATCGCTTCTTCTCGTTTTTAGATGGATGGATGGCATAATAAATTGCAACCAACAAAAAAGAAATGAGAGCGTTTTATGAGTAAATTAATTCAAAATTTTGCTAATTTTGAAAATTACCAAAAATACCAAAACTATAAATGAAAATATAATGAAAAACGAATGGTAAAAATAATTTAAAATATTAAAATAGTTCCAAAAGCAAAAAAAAACAGCTAAAAAAATTAATCACAAATCTCTGAATTTTGTCCTCAAATTGCAAGAAATTTAACACATTGTTATCCTTAAATTCGAATTAAGTTTAGAAAATTTTTAGACTGGCGACAGTGCACTGTGATCATATAAAATTCACTGCGGCTACAAAGTCTATTCATTTTCCTATTAATTTCTGCTGACATAAATGGTTTCTTTGTTTTTATTTGAATTCCTTTTTTTTGTGTTTGGAAAGAAGTGATACCATTCTATTTTCCCAGCTAATCACTGCAGAGTTCCAATTTATGTGTTGCAATCAACTGAGATATATTGAAAGTCACTTCAGTGCCATTTTTAAAATGTTTCAGAAAATGATTCGAATTTATTTTGCTGAGTAAACAAAGTAGGGATGAATTTTTTTATATAATTGATTCGCTAGAATGTTTTTTTGTTGAAATCTAAATAATTCCAAAAGTACAGATAATGAATGAAATTTCTATTGCTTCGAATATCGTCCACTTAACTCGAAAAGTGCTGCGCCTTTCAATTTTTTAGATATAGTCTAAATGTTTTTTCTTAAAAAATTAAGGGGAAATACAAAACAGCAAGGTGAATATTGAAAAATTGCAAAGTAAAGTTAAAAGAACTAAAAGTTTTCGAAGCAGAGCTCTTTTTTCAAAGGTTCACCATTTCTGGTTAGATTAGCTCTCTGGCTCCCTGGTTAGCTTGAAATTTTGCCAGGAATTCACTTGTTGATAGACATACAGATGGGTTTGATTTCTTAATGGCAGGTTGTGTAGAGTGGGAGGCCAAATCTTTCTTTTAAGCCTCTTGTTCCCCAATCCTTCCTTCCGAATTGCTTTTAAGGAATGAGACCTTTGCAAATAAGTAAAAGGAAACTTTAAACTAAAAGATGCCGTTAAAAATTTTACCATGGAATTTAAGGAAATGGAAATAATATTCTACTAATACAACTGAATTAATAAGCACATACTTATTGAGCATTGCCATTTGGGTGTCAAATGTACTTCCGCTAACACTGCCAGATCCATCGAGTATAAAGAGAAGATCCAATTGTCGATCGAGTGGTCGACATACTTAATTTTATTAAAATAATTCCAATTTCAATAGATTTTTAACTTTTTTTCACTTAAGGATATAGAGGAACATTTAAGGATAGAATTAAGCATAGAATAGAATAAGGTAGAATAAGGTGTATAGCACCATGTAGTATTTTATGACAGATTTATCGCCTTAGGTAGAGTGTGAACCTCAACGATCAGGGTTGTAGCTTGAAGAACACCTATGCGGGTACCTACAGTTGTAGTGTTCATAGAATAGGACACCCTAAGCTTTGTATATGTTTACAATATTTTATTTTTTATACAAATCGTATTATTTAGTGGTGCCACATTTTTATACAATTATCTTCAAACAGTGTCACATAATGGTTTATTTCCAAAATTTCTACAGTTTTCGTCAAATTATCAGAAGCAATAAATTTTCACATGAATTTTTCACAGTTCATTTTTCAGTTCGAGCGCTTCAAAATATAATAAAGAGGGTAATATTCGTAGTTTTCGCGTTGTTTCGTTCGAAGAACTTAGTGAAAAAATTACCTTTCGCTAAATCATTGTCTTCATAGTCGATGGTATTTACTGTGCTAAACAATATTGAAGATAAGATTATCAATTCAGTTAATAACATTACACTTCTATACAATTTTTGCACCAATTCGCCAATTTTTCCGAAATACTGAAATTATTTTACAAACACCAGTTTTAGCGCAAGCCTAATCGAGACTTGGATCGATATGATCAAGAGAAAACCTACATAGGAAAAAACACTTACAAACGTTAACTGAGGTTTAAAAGAGAATGATTAGCACATTTAATTTAATTTTTACACATTTAATTTTTGGTACTAATTCTGAAAATGTGGAAATGAAAAATGGAATCACAAAAAGTCGTTTTTTATTTTTTATGAAATAATTTGAGGAAATTTTATCGAAATTCATTCATTATTGGCCTAAATTATATAATAAAAAAAAAACGAGAAATTAAAAGGAAATTCATGAAAAAAATATAATAATAAAAAAAAGAATTTTCTTCCAAATCCTCGAAGATTTCAACTGAAACTAATTGATTCAATTTAATGGAGAAATTCGTAAAATATGACAACCCATTTTGAATAAACTTTTAGGAACGAATCGTCTAATATTATCGGATAGGATCGATCAACGGATAACAACCGGAACCAATTATGTGATGTGGTTCTTAAAAGAATCGAGATGAAGAGAATCGAAAATCGAAATTAAAACTGGATCAAACACCAAATTGCAGAAATCAGCATAGACAAATCATGAATTTAAATTTGTCTTTATTTCTTTATTTTCTTGTTGCTTATTGACGTTTTTTTTCCATCCAAAAATTGAAAAATGAAAGATGACAATCGATTATATAAATAGTAAGGATTAGCATCTATTTCCCGAATATTAAACCTTCTAACAGCATATTTTTAGTTTGGCTGGCTTCACTTAGTGATAAGAATCAAGATGAAATTGTCTTTTACGAAGAGTTAATCGGAGATAGATGTACAAGCAGCATGGACTTCATTTTTAACCACAAGTTTACTACATCATGGTAAAGAAATTGAGTACCACTGGCATGATTAGTATACCATTCGATCACTCTTTCCCTGGAAATTTTATGCCTTGAAATGATGGCTTTTTTATTTTTAAATGTTGATAGAGAATTATGGCTGTCCAAATTTTGAACAATCATTAATTAATATGAAAAATTTCTGCGAACTTGCACCTTTTTTTCATTACTTCGGAACATATTTCTAATTCTAATAATTCACCACTATAAAATAAAAAAGTTAGAAAGAACATTCTTTATTTATTTGGTACCTATTGATAACTTTTAGTCCTGAAATACCACCCAACCCTGTGGAAATCGTCTTGAAATAGTCTTGCAAAATATCTTCTCCTTTAAGATTTTTCAAACGAAAGAATAAGAGTGAGTATTGTCGGTTGAAAATCCTTTAATCAGCTCTTTCTGCTGTTGTCTTTCAAGCATAACATCAAATATTTCAGTTTCTCGACTGATTCCAAGCTCATACTTCGATGGTGTACGTAAAAGTAACCAAAAAGTCCGACTACTTATTTTAGCCGGAACTACTTTTTGTAAATCATTTTTTCTACTTTCGAACAATATTTTTGTTTAATAATTTAGTATTTATAATAATATGTACAATATTAATAATAATATTAAATAAACTCTCTTAACTTAAGAAACGAAAACGATGAAATAATTCCGACGAAGAATACATTGATATATGCCGAATGAAGAATTGCGGGTGATCGGCTGTATAAAATTTGTTCAAAGTTTTAAGACGTTAAGGTTGAACGAAAAATTGCAACATTTATGCAGGAGCTTGCGATGAAAGAAAAGAAGTATAACAATTTAATTTAATGGAGCAAAATAAAAAATATATTTTTAAGGAAGACATTTAAGATAAAAAGAAATATTCGTTGCTAAATTTTCGGAATGAATATTGTTGAAATTGAAGAGAGATATTTCGATATCATGGAAAAGAAAATATTAAAAGAGGACGAGTAGGTCAAAATCGACCCAATTATCTCGTAATTAATCCTTGAGTTTTGAAATGTCCGATTTTATCATTATCGTTAGTTGGTGGACGCAAAAATTTTGCTCAATTTGCTTCTCATTTCTTAAAAATGTAATACATATGATGCGGACGATAATCCATCGAATTCACTCATTTACAATTATAATTCGACCTTATACACTTTATAGAAATTAGCTATAGAAATTTTTAAAAAACTGGCAGATTTGTTGTCAGTGGCATTTAATATAAAATAGTAATTATTCTGATTAATGTTTATCAAATAAGCCAAGCTATAACAGTTCTCATGAGAGTTATAAATACAAATACGAATACTTTTTTCGCTTATACATACAGCCCTGGTTACTGCTATTGATCTAACTATATTTCTAGCAAGTGATTCTCTGGCAAAAATTTCTCATAATAAATAACCAGTGGAGCAAATGTGTCATTCTTTTGAGAAATAATGCTTTTAAGCCGTTTTGTGGGCAATAGCAAATATATCGTTTTAAAGCCATAGCGCACATTACTTTTTGCCCTGCTTATTTTATTGAAACAAACATAAACCTATTTAATGATGGATTTCAAATTTTATATTACATATTATGACCTAAACTAAAAATTATTTGCTTTTGGAGAAAAACATTATGATGCATATAAATAGTAAAACAAAGTAAGCGATTAGCGTTCACTATTGGTTAGGAACTTTTGTCAAGGAGTCATTTGGCAATGGAAATTGCGAATACAAGGTCGCTAACACCACCTCAGTCTTTCTTAATAAAAAATTAACTCAAAGCGATAGCAGAATCTGAGCCACCAGTCACTCAGCTATCCTCGCTCCTCATGAATAACAAATTTTATACTTAAACTTCTTATTTATATTATTAATTAATAAAGTTTGTATAAAATTAATAAAGCTTTTGTATAAATAAAGTTTAAATTAAAAAGAAATAGTAATTCACACTGAATATCGAACTTCTGAATTTATATAATTCTTCGCCTTTGGCTTCAAAATTTCCAATTTTATCATTATCGTTAGTTTTTAAGTATAGTGTAGAAAAAAAAGTGGTAATAATCACTCGATAATAATCAATTAATAATTAGTTTTCTATTACTGGTTTTATCACAGATTTTTCACTGATATACTAAACCATTTTCAATTGCTCAAGAATTCCACTTGGAATTTCGAGCTTAAGGTTTCCAACTGATAATATTGTATACTACTGTAATGCCGAAATAATGATTCGGCTTGATTCATTAAAATTCGTTTCTTTTATGAAAATTCGTTATGAGAATATTTGAAAAAGCAAAATGGCCCACTTGCAAAATTTTTATTTTCCTTAGTGAAAATAAAAATGGCTGAAAAAATACTGGAAAAGCATAGGAATGCATAATTCAGCTATATTCAGCAGTTATTAATTAAGCGAAGATTATTTCTTTTTTGATTGATGAAACAAAATTCGAAGTAATTTATTGAAATAATTTTGCATGAAAAATTACATATGCCAATTTGAATTAATTAAATTTGAATTAATTTTAATTATAATAATTGTTGCAATTGTTTAAGGATTTTAGTTGATTTAAAATTAAGCTATCAATATGATAAATGAAATTTTCATTGTTTTAAATAGGCAATTATCCATCTTAGCAAATGGGACTTTTATAAAAAAATTGTGATCACTCAGTAGATTGACCTGAAAAAAATTTAGGCGACCGGCAGAAATGATTCGAAATGACTAATTCGAATTAACATCATTTATTAAAATCGAATCGAATCGAATCGTAAATAAGGGCAAAAGAGCAAAATAGTATCTATTGTCGAGTGAGTGCAAATAGGATTGATCACAAAAAAGAAATCCAGGAGGTTTTGTGGAGCCATGTGCACTTCTGAGATAAAGATCTCTCACCTCAATAACCAGCGAAGCTTTCAGAACTAGAAATGCTGAGTTATATTAGGAAAAAAAGAAAAATTAAAAAGTAAATAAAAATATGTGGACGTTGGCACTCATTATTTCTAGCTCGCCTAGCAGTTAATATGGTTAAAAATTTTTTAGGGGGCCGCTTCTTGATAGAAACACAGGTGGGTAGCAAAGGCGACTTGAATCTTTTATGATAGGTTTACTCCTGTCGATGGCAGATGCCGAATCGTTTGAATCATGGAAAATTTGCAACAAAATAACTTTAATAGGCTTCAGACGAATATATGCTTGAACTATTCAACTGAAATAATATCAAATAATATACAATCAAATTAAATGGCATGAAACGGAAATATTTCGCAAAAAAATAAACTTTAAAAAAGATTTTTTTAAATGTTAAAAAAGAAGATTAAAATAAAAATAAAATAAAATTACACATATAAAATTAAAAATCTTTATGAATATCAAAATTGAAAGTAACGCAAAAATGCAACCTTTGACCTCTCTTGTCTAAGGTACATATTACGGATCTGTCGATAAGAATATCACATGATCGCATCTACATTCGTTCGAATACCACTTGCATAAATAATGCGTCGCCTTCACTGGTTAAGGCACGTTCTCTGTCGTCCACCACAGGAATTGATGCATATTTCATTACTTGCTAAACCTGATGGTTGGCGTCAAAAGGGAGATGGGCCAATCAAGACCTGGTCTGATACGGTCAGAAAAGATTTTGAACATATAGGTGGACCAGCAATATATGGACTTAGACGATGGAAAAAGGGATAGCTTCTATTACTGTCGACGATAGCATCATACCGCGCCGCTTGGAAGCGTCTTGCCCTTGTAGCTGTTGGAGCCAGACTGACCAGTAATGATGAGAACTGTTAAAAGAAAAGAAGAAATTGAATTTAAAAAACTTAATAATATTTGCATTGTATAAAACAGCGATAACATATGAAATAATTTTCAATAAATAAGCATTATAATGCGTATTATTTTTCATTTCCATGTATCATTTTTATCACAGTTTTTATCACATTTTTATCAAGATGAAGATAATAAAGATTGATTGGAAAATGTTTCACAGAAGAGCGATTGAGATTACTACTATCGTTATTATTAAAATTTGCTGCAAGTTAATTTGATATGTTCCATCTGAAAACAAAGAAAAATAATAATTTAAACTGGAACCTTTTTAAAATTTATTCAAATTTCTTCACAATTTGGCACGTCTAATTTTGCAAAAAATCTTTAATTTTATTTTAATTTTTTTCTTTAATTTCTTTTTTAATTCTAATTTAATTTAAAATTTTTATTTTTTTAATATAAATTTTGCGAAAAAAATGAATTTTAAATAAAAATGGGCGAAATTTAAAGAAAAATAAGCCTTTGAAAATTTTCTTCATTAATTTGCTTCTCTCTAATTTTTAAATGATCGATACAAAATTATTGGCGAATTGTTTCCCGAAGAATTCCCGTATCTATCAAGATTGAATAATTGATCAATCAACAATTCGACATAAAAATCAGCAAAAAAATGTGTAAATTTTTTGCTAACTTAAGCTAAATGGCGTCAGTTGAGATTTTTATTAAATTACTGAAGAATTTCATTAAAATAAAAATAAATAATTTGAGGATCGAACTTAAGAGATATATACATACTTGAATTAACATGCAACATATGTGAGGATTCAGGAGCATCTATAGCACTGCAAGCATAATTACCATCATCTTCGCTGGTTGCGCGAAGGATTCTTAATGTATGAACGATTGTTCGACTATCACGCTTTACTTTCGAGATGTATTCTGAATAAATGAATTAAATGAAATAAAATTTGTAGTATTCAATGGAATGAGAAAAAATTATTGCTTGGTTCAAGCATAATAGCTCGGCTTCTATTCCTGGATAAAGTAAACCTTGTCATTAAAAGCAAAATTCACGTAGTATTGGCAATCCACTTGCATAGTTGCCTTATTTCAAATTTTTGTAAGATCTTCAAAAATATTTTCCATAAAAATAAAATCTAAGATTTGGCTGCTTTTTGTTAGAAAAAGAATTATAGGAGAAAGAATTTAAGGAGATCAATGATAGAGAGATCATGTGGATCTCTCTAGATGTAACAAAAGAGCAGATGGTCTCTGCCTATCAGCTGTTTTCCAATTAGGACTGTGATACTGCCATTTAATTTCAAAATTTAAAGGACAACAGGACACCTTTTCCCGATGGGTCACTGAAAGATAGATCCAGGATACCTTTGCCATTAAGTTTGTAATTAGTTAATTTCATTGATATTTTTAAGCAAAATTATTAACTATTTGTTCTCGTAAAATCAATGGGTTTTCCATCTCTTAACCACATAACTTGTTCATCAAGCGTTGAACCATTCGACGTGGTTATTGTGCAATTCAATAGCACTTCATTTCCGATTAAATTTGCCATTAATTTAGTTGTTCGTTCTATTAAAAATTATAAAATAGATTGAAATCTTATAAAAGGCGATATATTGAATGATTTTTCAATGATCTCTTCAATTTCGAATTTTAAATTCATTAAAAAATTTAAGAGTAATGTAGTTAAAGAATACTTGTTGAGCTCGCTGGAATATTGCTTTGCCATCCATCTGCAATTTTCAATTTTTCTGCATTGAAAAAAATTTTTATCCTAATTGATTTTGTTGAAATTTATAATTTTGATATGTAAAAAGAAAATTGACGACAATTTATTTGTATAAGCATTATATAGAGGCAGAACGGCCGAATGGATATACTTTAGATCATTGTTGATAGGCAAGAATTTGGTCTCCGTTCCTCACCAAAATAAAACTTTCATTAAGAAATCCAGTGTTACTAACGACATACTTTTGATTCTATCACAAAGTTATTCTTTAGCAAAAATTTCTAACCATACTAGCCATTGGAACGAGTGTTTCTAGCCATTTACTTTATATATTTATTTTATTTATAATATAAACTTATATATATATATACCAAATAGGTCCAATTAAGAAATCGAAAAAAAATTTGCAAACTCACCAATGACATTAAGATAAACTGCGTATACTATACTTTTGGGTTCAGTATTCACCTCACAAAGGTAGCAACCAGAATCTGATTTTTCAACCCTTCTGAAATACCAATACGAAAAGAATAAATATATCATTCCATTAAAATCTTTCATTCTATATTTCATACAATTTGGAAAAAAAAAGATCATTTGAAAATGAAATTCGCAAAATGCACCTTATTATAAGTACCCAGTCTGATTCGGATGGCTTTAGTGATACTTGAAATCTGGGGTCTGTAGTAAAGGACAATTCACCGGCAGTTAATAGCGCTTCATCATTTACTCTTGTCCAAGCAACCTCCAAAGTTCATAAAATCATTCGAAAAATAACGATCATAAATCTCATTCAACGAGAATTTTAATTTTTAGATAACCATGAAAATTAATGTTTTATCATTTATTTATTATTTATGAGAATCTTTCAACGATTTATCAGTTTTATCTTATGATGCCTATGGTTCATTTAAAAAATTTAATTGTTGCTTTATTATAATTATAACTGGGCATCTGTTATTATTAAATTTTAAGAACCATTAATTTACGATTCGCTATTTGCAAAGTCTAATCAATCCAATGAACCATTCTTTTCGCGAAATGGAGGGAATCAAACCTCCTCCCGAAAGTGTAATTCGTGGTCACAAATAAATTTGACTCCTAAGCATTTTATAAATTAACGTGCTATAAACACTTTTATGGTTAATTACTAACAAGACATAGGAACTGAACTCTTGGTACTTGTTCTCAAAGTAACATATCGTTCGGTTATTATGTCTCTGGCTATGCAATACACCACCGGAAATTAAAAATGACTAGAGTTAGAATAATTTTATAGTTTTTAGAGTTGGAATAGTTTTTTTATAGTTTCATAATTTTTTTTCATTTACATGTTTTATAAATTAACGTGCTATAAGGCTAATTTGTTTCCAAGATTATCAATGTCATTAGAGTAATTCTATTCGAATTAATAAAGTACAAGAATGGGCATTCGTTAATAGAAAAAAAAAGAATCATTATTGCAAATTATATGGTGATGAAAGGTAAATGTGAATAATTACTCATGATTTTCTATGGGTTAATTACTAAAGATATAGGTTAGTCGCCCTTGATAAATTAAACATTGCTTATTAATCAGTCGAAACGGAAGGGAAAGGCAACAGATACAGGATAATTAAACGTTTCTGCTTTCCATTTACGGTCTTTCTTCCAAGGTTAATAATCATCAAGTGTTCACTATTAAAAACTATGATTAACTATCAGATAATTTTGAGTCCTCTCTTTCTGGTACTACAATGGCCAATGCCTACTGATGCAAGTTTATTTAAAATAGGTCGAGTAAATCCGAAATTTTTCGAACTATTGGCCAGTTTTATATCAATCGCTACAATTCATACTACAAAATATCAGAGGAAATTTTAGCATGAATAAAAAAATTTGGCATCAAAAAGAAATACAGAAAGTATTTTGAATGTTAAATGATTTTAGGCGAATCCTGTCATTTGAATATAATTTTTTTAGATACACTGCCGTTGAAATTTAATAAAAAGACATACAAGATTTTTGCTGAATTGAGGAATAATACAATGTAAATATGCTGGCTCATGAATCGAAACTTGAACAATTCGCTGATGAGATAACGTATAGCGAGGAATATTCTCATCGAGACGTTCCATCATGAAGCATTCCTGATACTTCTCACCGGTTGTTAGCAATGCTACATCTGAAATATGGGCGATTCGCAAAACAATTATAAATTGCCATCATACAGCAATATCCAAGAATAATTTGGAAATGTCATCGAAAAAGTTGGCTTCTGAGATTTTTTAAATTCTTTGAATTAGGCCACAATTTCTTCATCAAATTTTTTAAAATTTGAACTTAAATTTCCGCTATAAGCGTAAGCGGTCAAATTTCCGATAAAATGAGTTTTTTTTAAAGTAATTATCGACTTTTTTTGAGGAATATTCACCATTTCTATTTAGTCTCACTCCACTTCCTTGTTGAATTAGGAAAATTCTTGTGCGAAGCATAGATATAGCTCCAGCACCGCTCGGGTTTTTGAAAGACTCACTCACAAGATTCACTCAGGTTCACTCTTGCCGAGAGTAAAAGCACAACATTGATGCTTCATCAATCCATTTTACTCACATAATTCTCAGTGGTAAAATTGAAATTGGATTGAAATTATTAAAATTAAATAGCAAAATCGTCAGATATTTGACTGAGTATTATTTAAAGCAAGGTGCACCTTAATTACCTATAAAATTTTTTCCACCGACTATTTCTATTAAAAATTTCCTCTATAATTAGATTCATCGAATTAGATGACTTTATTGAGATGCCTATTTAGGTTGACAGCTTGTTGATTAATACATAAATATATGTAAGGGGCATAATTTTCTATTATCTACTATTTGATTAAGTAAACTGAAATATATTGGAGAACAATGCGAATCCACTTCGCTTATTAGGAATGATACTATTTCTCAGTGGTTAGGTCAATCGCTATTATTATGCATTATCACAACCTAATAATTATTTGTTATATTAGATCATTAAGCCAAATTTTTCGCAATTGAAAAATGACACTTTCTATTCTTTGCCATTTTCATTTTGAACATTTATTTAATTTTAGTATAGTTGCAACCAAATTTGCGAAAATTCGCGTAACATTTCTTGCTAAGTTCGCTGGGTTAGTACAATTAGAAATTCTGCCAAAGAGTAGAAGTGGATCATTATTGGACTTTTTAACGACAGGGAATGATAGCCGAATTTCTTGCCTTGCAGGTACAAACCGCTATCGACTCGGCTTCTACCACTCAATTGAACAAACTCAAACTTCGCTTGAAAGAATTTCTACTTAAATTAAGAAAGGAAAAATGAGATGACTTAATGGAAAATGGAAAATAAATGAAAAAAGTAGCATCACTCTATAACATTTATAGAATTTATAGAATTTTTTGCTAATTTTTTTCAATTCCGAATAATTTTTAAAATTTACTTTAAAATTCAAAATTTACTTCAAAATTCTTACTGAGTAAAATCCCTTTCAATTGCCGTTTTATCGATAGAATTTTATGCTTTTGTAGCTTATATCTGCCTTATTAATGAAAATGCGAAAAATTTAAAATATTAAAGTCTAAGAGAAAATTATTCATATAAAATATGTAAAGTTCAAAATTAATCTTGGAAATTCTTAAAGCAGCTATATTACTAAGTGCGTCACATTTCAAAGATTTTTTGAACCATATTTATAATATATATTTGTAAATTCTCGAGATTTGTTTATTCATTATATTTCTTATCTGATCGAATAGACTTTGTTGGCTTTTTAAGCCAAAGCAGCAGCAACAGCACAGTAGAATAAGAATGCAAATATAACGAAGCACAAAATCTAGTGTCAAGTAGTTAGTAAACAGCAAAATTTACTTATTTAATGGCTCAAAAAATTCGATTTTTCATTTCGTTTGCCTTCCATATTAATTTTAAGTAAATAATGCGATAGAAATGATTATTCTATAAAGTTTTAGGTAAAATAATTTTGTTTCTATAACCCTAAAGCATCTGTTCAACCAGGCTTGCGGATTCAACCAATTTTTCAGAAGCAAACCAAGTGAATTTCTAGGTTCACATTTTAGTGAAAGATCGGTCTACAGTGGCACAGTTTTATAAAAATTCATGCTCTTTATCAATTTCCCTTTTCTTTTTCTTTCCTTTTCTTTTCTTTTTTCCACATTCTTGAAGAAAACAACATTTTGTGAAAAAAACTGATTTCGAGTCAAGTGCAATAGTTCGCTTAGCCTTTGCACAATCAGAACTATTTAATACCAGTCAATAATAATAATAATAATGATGAGTCCCATGAGGCGAATGAGAAACTTCATTTCTAGAAATGATGCGAATGAGCTGCTATATGAAATTCGTTTATTCAATATATATTCTCATGAAATGTAGAAACGATTAGAGAAGTACTTACTTATATGTATGAAGTATTCACTGAAAAATCTTTCGAAGAAATGAGATATACCCTTGAGAATGATCTGATATGAAATTAGGAAAACCATAATTTCGATTTGACAACTGATAACTTCACTGCATATTATCGATTCATCAATAATTTTTTTAAAAAAAATGTGCAATTAGAAATGAGATCAAAATTAATGAAAATATTAAAGATGAACAAATAAATCCAGAAGCCTAAAAAGAAGGAATTATCTGCAATCAACAAATTATCACATATGTGATAAGCATTAAAAATCATTCCATTATATCAATGATAAGAGGATTTCAAAATCGAAATACCAACAAATTTTAATCGATTCATGTGCGGATGAATCCTAGAAATGATTAAATTCTGGAGTGTTGAATGGATTTTAAATATTTTTAAATAATCTTCTCCCTTGACTTTTAACCATTCTTCCTTTCTAGTTGTACTGATTACTGGGTGGGATGAGATCTTTTTGCCAGGGAATAGAAAAAAGTTGATCATCAGCACCATCCGGATTATGCTTTTGATAGTAGACTTATTCGCACCGAAATAAAAGCTCAGCCAGGATGCCTCTTATAATAATATATTATAAGTGACAATCATTCAACTATCACTAGCCTCTATGGAAGCAGTGGATCAGGATTATTTACTAATTTCCCTCATAAAATGGAACTTCGAAATTTTTTTAAATAATATTTTTTCATTCAAAAACCACATTATCTGTTATGTGCTTTTTTTGATAGCCTTATCATAAATAATAATTAACTTTTCGATTGTTTATTACATTATACATTTTAGTTTTGTTTCTATTCGCATATTCGGATTCATGGTTAGCATTTAGTAGTTGTAAACTGCAAATGGACTCGTTTAGTGCAACTAACCTTTCTATATTGTTATTCCATGGATAATTATTTATCACTATTTATCAAAAAGGAAAAGTCAAAACGGAAATAAGACTGAATTAAAGGTTTCATATATTAATATTTGCAAGCCTTTTAATCAATTTATTTAAAAAATCAACCAGAATATTGCTAAAATTAATTAGAAATTTTTTTGAAGTATCAATTTCAATCTTGGAAAAATCTTGGAAAGAAACGGATTTAATTGAATTACTTGTTGTCTTTGCTTGTTGTACATATCAGCAAATAAGTAAATAAATAAATTTCAAACCAAAGAAACCAAATATGGATTAATACTTCGTGATTTGTTTACTTACGCATTAAGTTTGCCACTATCGACACGAATAATCAAAATCGAAGTAATGTCTTCATGTCTTTAAGTAAACTCGATGAAGATGAAGCAAATGATAAAAATACAAGCTACTATTCTAAAAAATTCCACAAAAAATGATTGAATTAATATGAAAAATTCGATGGATTCACATTTACGAGGATCGCAAACACGTAAATCTCAACAATTTGTTGGTAATTATTAGTTTCATTTAATTAATGAAGTGAAATTATGGGATCAGTGATCTGGTAACCACTCTGCTCATTGTTACGATAAAAAATTTGGGAAGTTGGAGATAAATTATGGATTATTTAATGGTCAAACTCGGGTATTTTTTTAGAACTTTTATTTATAGGTTTTAAATCAGTTCCACATTAAACATTTATCGTCATTATTCAAAATTACTCAGCACATTTGTTCGCAACCTTATTTTATTTTCTTTTTCTTCTAACAGTATTCTACAAATTGGTTCCATTGACTGATTACTAAAATTAGAGTTATTTAGGGTTAAAATAAAAGCATGGCTGCATTGCCATTCAGAATTTCGCTTTTATGATAGGTTTCCTCCAGTCAGCGAAAAGAAATCGAACTAATGATTGTTTATAAATTTTTTATAGGCTATATTTGTTTTTACGAATGATATTATCATGTAAGATTACCATATAAGAAAACAAAACAAAAATGAATAATAAGCATTAAAAGAAAAAATATTTGATATAAGTTGATTGAAAATGCAAATTATTATTTTATGTCTTCGTTGTTATTAAATTATCAAAAATATTAAACGTTATTAAGAAATGATTAGCAGTGACCATTTCGGCTTACGCTGCCTTCATTAGCTGTTAGTATGAAAGTTTTGCCAAGGAGTCATTTCAAAATAATATTTTTTTTATTTTTTTCAATTAAGTGGGGAAATAAATATATTTGGCCCACCAGTACCAAATTTTATAATGACCTATCGGAGGAAATGTTCAAAAATTTTTTATTTACTTTTTAGTTTTTTTATTTATTACTATTAGTCTTCATTAGTATTTTTTAATAGTTGAGAAGTGTTTTCGAATTTCGAAATTTACATGGAAATTCGAAATTTGGTTTGATAATTCGAAATTACACTTTTTCCCTAAAAAAATCCTTAACGAGATCGCCTCTTCAATACGCACAATTTTCCTTAAAAATGCTTAAATCTTATTTTCTCAATTGATTTACGCAAAAAATATTGTCAAATAAATTTATCTGAAAAGAAGTTTTCGTAGATGGAAAAGTTTGCTTAAAAATTTCGGAATTAGATAAGCTTTTGAAAAATGAAATGTTTTTTTTCTTTTTTCACAACCTAATTCCATTTTCAAAAGCAATTGAAATTACTTTTTTGGAGATTTTCTTTCAAATAGAATTAAATGCATAGAAATGCATAGAATTTATTTATAACTTCAGTTGAAAATAATGTAAAAGAATGAC